TTCCAAACGGCATTATATGACCCTAATATGTATCCCCTAGGGTCTTAACACTTTTCTCCACGGAGCCCCTTAACCTCAAAAATTATTCAAAAAGCGTGGATAATAGCCTTCAATTTTGGAATTTTTCGACTTTTTTTAGTCCGGAAATAAAAATTGCCGAGACGTTTACCATGGTCCCTAATACCCTCCGGGAGTCCAATTAGGTCGGTGGAACCATTCAATTTGCCTTAAAATGATCAATTTACCAATCCGCAACTTCACCGATTTTGTGAACTCAAGCCTACCACAGACATTTATGACATAACTTAATGGTCATATATGGTTCCAAACGGCATTATATGACCCTAAGATGTATCCCCTAGGGTCTCAACACTTTTCTCCACCGGCCCCTATAACCTCAAAAAGCATGGATAATAGCCTTCAATTTTGGAACTTTTTGACCTTTTTTCACACGGAAATAAAAATTGCCGAGATGTTTACTATGGTCTCTAATATCCTCCGGGAGTCCAATTGAGTGGGTGGAACAATCAAATTTGCCTTAAAACGGTAAATTTATTAATTCACAACTTGCACCGATTTTGTGAACTCAAGCCTACTACGGACATTTATGACATCATTTAATGGTTATATATGGTTCCCAACGGTATTATATGACCCTAAGATGTATCCCCTAGGGTATCAACACTTTTTGACACCGGGCCTCGTAACCTAAAAAATTCTTTTAAAAGCGTGGATAATAGCTTTCAATTTTGGAAATTTTTGACATTTTTTTGCCTAAAAATATAAATTACTGAGATGTTTATAATGGTCCCTAATATCCTCCGGGAGTCCAATTGGGTGGTTGGAACCATCCAATTTGCCTTAAAACGATCAATTTACACGTTTTCGTAAACTCCTCCTGTATTGGCTATAAGCTTTCACAGGGCTTATACGTAGTCGAATAATTGTCATATATGAGTCGAAACGATATTTTATGTCTCCGGGATGCATCCTGTAATGTTCTGTGAAATTCCCACACCAGGTCCCGACACACCTAATTGTCCTTAAAACAGAACAGGGGGAAAAAATGCTACCGGCGCCAAACTTTTCAACGATCAAATTGATCTGCTCAGTTGGAGTATGGTCCAGAAAAACAGTGGTTATCACTGGACAATCAAACTCTTGTACTATTTAAACCAAACTATTATAATCCAGCCCGTGGTGTCGCACTAATTCGCTGACGGCCCCATGTAAAGCTGCCCTCCGCTGATCTTCAGGTGTTAGGCCACTACTTGCTATGGAACGGGGTCTGGATCGTGCCCTACTACGGGACCTACTAGCACTGGCTTAACCACTTGCCCCAAAGTCTGCAGGGGCCGTAGGCACTTTGGAGACAAAGTGATTCATTGCTAAAATCTACATCAACAACCAAAAACAAAAATTGTAAATAATAATAAAACTTATAATAATCCGCATAAAATAGAAAGAAAAAAAAAATACCCACAATTGAATCGGCAGAGTCGGCAGAGCTGCAGCTTCCTTTGTGGTTTTTTCTCTTGAGACCCATGTCTCCAATTTATATATATCATGTACAAGTAAGTCTGTAACACCCCCGATTTACTAGCTAATAATGAACAATAAATAAAGGAAAAAATAAAGAACCTTTAAATAAAATTGCGGAAGCATATTCCTAAATCGAAGGTATTACCGCCACACTCGACAACCTGTCAGGTGTTAAGGCTTACAAAATCCCAATAATTACAACCCAATAAACTAGGTGAGCTATTTATACAACTTTATAAACTTGTTATAAACAAACTAATCGATCACTTGAGCTCCTTTAGCTACGAACACTTGTTCAACCTGTTCAGAAAAACTTGACTGCTCACCATTAAGGACAAATTCCAAAATAGATCATTGCAGGGCCACCATAAGAAAAAGACATGACCGCAAACACAAGTAACAGAACAAAAACAAACACACACGTCAGCAAAAGCTGAGTAATCACCACATATCAGAATATAGTGTATAATATAATAATTAACATTAATATATCAATTAAATAATGTAGTTCGAAACTACATTACACATTGTACTGTGAAAATAACCTCTGTCAACTCAACCTCGAATAATAACACAATCTTTCACTCAATTAACTCATAACCAATTAATGTGTCATGCTCTTTGTTTTATACCTAGCCTTGGGCATGGGTAATTCGAATAAAACCAACAAGTATAAAAACTTGAATACTCCCAATAACCAGAAAACACCTTGAACCAGACCACATACGGGCCAATTCCCACTGTAGGGGACCATAAAAAAATAATTAATAAAGATTGTACCTCATTCTTAACTTATGATCATTATCTCATTACCAACATGTCAAGGACTAAGGTTTATAACGCCGAGCCTCAAACCAATAACAAAATAATTTTCAATATTTTGATCTCATACATCGATCAAGTAACCATTTACAAATTAATTAATAATATCTCAATAATGGCACAGGTTCCCAAAAAAAACATAAGAATTCGATTCAAAAACTTCTCAACTCTTAGGAAAATAATACTAGTTCCCAAATATAATCAAATCTCAACCCAAAAATAACACTCTGCATTAACAACCCTAAAACCTTGATAAAACAATACTCCCTATAACAACAACATTAAAAATCCTAGCAATAACACAATCAATCAATGCGACAATTAAATCATATAATACCACACACTAATCAAATACAAATAAATCATGATCATATATAATTCACAAATTATAAAATTTACACATAACAATACGGAGTACAATTGATACTAACAATTTATAATCAAACAAATCAAAAAATTAATTAAGGTAGTGTGATTACCTTTAAACGAATCACAATATATAAAAGGGACGAAATAGCTCGGCAACAACACTATTCAAGGCCGTCAATCACATTTAGACCAATGTGATGTTGGGGATTATAGAATAAACCAAGAAACATTATATAAAAAAAAAATCAAATTTGGGTTTACTGGTTTATGAAACTAGCGCATAAGATAAATACTCCAGGGTTAATAAAACTAGCGTTTGCCGTTTGTTTTAATAAAATAATAATGTAGGGTTAAAGGATATAAATAGTTTATCATAAAAATATTCTAACCAACATAAGATATATATTTTAGATTTCATCAAATAAGATAAGAAAATTAAATTTTAAAGTATACAATTCTAATTTTATAATTTGTAAAATCATAAAATGTACGGGTATTACAATCTACCCTCCTTAAAACAAGTTTCGTCCTCAATCTTGAAATATAAAAATTTAGGGTATTACAAAGTCTCAACCAAATGAAGTCTTTTCCAATCAATTCAGAAATCCCACAAAGAATCTACCTTTTCAGCAGAACTCCTGGGGGGAGAAAACTTGAGTTAATGCATGCAGTTGAACACCTTTTTCGATAGAGGAGGGAAAATGAGAAAGAAGAGTCAAAGAGATTGGGAAAATATGAATTAGGTCAGCTAGGTAATAATGGCACAAGGTGAATAAGAATTTTGGATTACTATGAGCCCGTACTTATTTACTGAATTGAGCTAAACTGAACTGAAGTTAATTGAACTGAACTGAACTTATTAGAGCTGAACTAAACTTATTAGAGCTGGACTAAACTTAACTGAATTGAACTGAACTTAACTTATTTTAAACTAAAAGCCTAAAAGGAATTGTTTATAAGAGAGATATTAAGAGCTGAACTGAACTTATTAGAGCTGAACTGAACTGAACTTATTGGAGCTGAACTGAACTGAAGTGAACTGAACTTATTTTAAGTTGAAAAGAACAAGCCCTATGTTTTCTTCTTATTAAAATTCTAGCTAGAAGAAGATCATAAAAAACATTGTTTTGTATGTATGTATGTATGAATGTGTGTGTGTGTGTATGTATGGATCTATATTGTATGTATGTGTGTGTGTGTATGTATTTATTTATGTATGTAGTAAGGTTGGAAGAATTTGGATTTCTTCTTTCTCATTTTTGTTATTGATGTAAGTGATGCAAATTATAGAAAAAGGAAAATAAAAAGAAAAGTATGGAGGGTTGTTCGTATTGCCAACCCAGAAGTTCTTTAATCTTCGATATAGGGATTGCTTCCAATAGTTGGTTGGTACACATGGATCAATTGTTCTTAGGGTTCTTCTGTCAGTACACTTTCTCTCTCTTCATCTAGAGCGTGAGAGATCTAATGGCAGATCTTTCAAGAATCCATTCTGGAGGGACTTTGTTGTGCTCTTTTGATCGAAAATTTATAGAACTTGTATCACTGCGGAAGACTGCAAAGAAAGAGCTAGATTTTCCGAGGATAAATTATGTGACTATAAGGTTAAGATCTATGTGAAAATGCTTATGTCCATTTCAATTGTGAATGAGTGTACATTTATGCTTATTTATATGAATCACTTAAAATTTTCCATTTTATCTCCTTCTATACTGTTCATGTATATGTGAAATGGTATGTTATGGTATTAAGGGCACGATAAACACGAATTAAATAGTAGAAATTAAGGGGATGGTAAACACGAAGTAAACTTTTAATGAGCTATAACTCATATCATGATTCATAAGGGGGATGGAAGTTGGCACGAGTGGGTGGGGTGGACCTTGGCAAAGAAGAAAAGGGAACAGTATACTCTGGTTAATTAATAGCCAGCTTATTCCAATTTAGATGTCACATTGTTGGTCTAAATTCAATAAATGTCACTACACAACTACAAAAGAGGTTGTGGTTTAAAGACAGATTACCATTGATTTAAAATCAAATGTTGCGTACAATGCCAATTATAAATCCAAGCAATCCAAATATCGATACAAAATTTAAAGTTCTAGTAATCTATAGGCACAAAGGTCATTGATGTTGATGATACTCCGTATGAAATATTTGTGGCGCATTTTGAAATCTAAACTCTAGGGTACGGCAAGTAGAAGAGTTGCAAAATATCAATCCCTACATTAGTCCACGGTTGTAGAAAATAGTAAAATTTGGTCTGAAGGTAAACACATCTTCTACAAGAGCTTGTATTATTGCATTATGAAATTTATGTACAAATAATGCTACAACATCATATATATATACATGGTGAGAATGTGAGATCTATACAACCTCTGATGCAATGATACAAAAATGGGGAAAGAAAAGGAGAAGAATAAACATATGTACACCATAAACAACATACAATCGATTGCTGCTCACCAAAATGGGCACCACCTGGAAAGATGGAATGCGTATGTTAGCCAAAGAATGAGATCAAATGAAGACAGACTTAAAATTATTATTCCATTTATTTCGAGTGAAATTTCAGTGAAGGAAAAAAGAAAAAGATAGGTGGGTAAAATGAGTCAATATTTCAAAACAGAATAAGAATTCATAAGAGTTCAAAATGAGTTACATGTGGAAAAATATTAAGCGCAAGAGATCCTATTTGATTTTAGTGGGTTCATTTCAAGTAATTATCCCTTCCTAATTGATCTCAAGGGTCTAATTGTGTAACCCACACACACTGAAGATAAAAAAGAACTGGCATCTTCAGCAGAATATAGCCAACCCCTGATGCACTCCCACATTCAACAGGAAAAGAAAATTTTCAAAGCAAGCACCTATCGAATCTTTGTGAAAAAGTGATCAAGTTCCAAAAAGATGGAAACAATCCAAAATTTAGTTCTGGCACATCCCATATTCTCATCGATTTCTCACCTGTTAGTATTTTTTTTATTTTTATTTTTTTTTTTTTTGGGGGGGGGGGGAGGGGAGCCATAAATTTACAGTAAAAAGATTAGGATTCATACCCGACGTAATTTTGGCATAAATTCTCATATGAAGTAGCCTGATCTATCAATTTTTGAACCTGTAGTTTGACAGACAAGCCATGTTCAACTTCACGGGAATCTCCTGATGCAAAGTTACTAGTCTTACTACTATCTGCTGCACCTTGGCCTGCAACTGTAGAAGCAGAGACCGTGGAAAAGTCACGCCCTGTAAGCTTGTTACTCATCCGAGCCATAACCATCACAGCACGCTCATTCAGAACCTCATTAGCATCACCAAGTTGATTAACAGCCTAAGGCAGCAAAATAGAGAAGATTAGATCAATATCAGAGGGTTACACCAATCCAAAAAAATTGTAGGATTCCCCAAACCTGTAGTAGTTCTCTCTCTCGTACTCCTCGCTGAGGATGTGAAAGGTTATTACTCGAAGAAGGTTCTTCACTGTTCACGGCAGAAGGGATATGTGCACTTGCAAGAGTAGAGATTTGTGGGACTTCATTGAAGTTGAAAAGACGCCAATTTATAAGAGGATCGTGAACAAAAGCCTAAACCCAAAAAGGTGAACAGTGGGTTACAGAAGCATCATATTTCACGCAAATGGTGAACCCAAAGGCAGCAGAGAAAATCAAAACAAGCTAACAAAGCTCCTAAACCACATGGTGCAAAAAAAAAAAAAAACAGTATTTGTAATTTGTATACTAACAGGCAGCAAATATTAACAAAAACAATACTGGTCTTTCTACCTCCATCATAGCCATGACACTGTCCTTGTTTGTTCTAAGAACTTGCATCACATTTTCACATGTTGTGCGGAAGGTACCCTCTATTCCACTGACTTCCATGGCTTTTACAAGCATTCTAGTCAAGCGAAAAGGCACCTGCACATTATACAATAGGTCAATTACATGCAATTCACAGATCAGAAACCAGAGATTTTATAGCCAGTCACCCGAAAGAAAAGAAAACACACTGCACCTTCTCAGGAAATTTTTCTCTGTTCATCGATGCTTCAAAGCAGTCCCCAAAATCAATATGCAAGATTTTCCCACTGAGAGATTGTAAAGTTAATTATTGTCATACATAATACTAGCTTTATAAGCTACATTAAATACTATACCTGTAACGATGTAGCATAAGGTTACTTGGGTGTCGATCACCCAAGCCAAGAAGGTAGCCGACCTGGTAGCCATTCAATGCAAGAACATAAGTTTTTTTTTTTTTTTAACCAAATAGATCATGGGGTCAGACAAAAATTTCATGTTGTCATTTTAAAGAAAAAGTAAATCATCAGTACTATTTAGTATGTTACTCACTTACTCAGACTGTGGTACCCATGTCTATTGTCCAACACGGGTACGTGTTCAAGTGTTTGACTTGGCTATTTGTGAAACCCCATGAGTTTGAACTAAAATGAAGTGTCGTAAGTGTCCTACCCATGTCCGAGTGTAAGGATACGACACGGGTACTTATAGTGAAATGAAGAGTGAGTAACATTAAATCAACTGTAGTGATGATAAAAAGGATTACAGGCCCAACACAGAAACCTTGGAGGTTAACACCTGATTTTATTTGCTTTGTTTTAGTATCTGATATTGGTAGTGATAATCAGACAAGGTCAGTCGTTAGGTTAACCAGGTCAAAAGCAGAACCAGAACTGGTAGTTTGTGCATACAATTATTGCATTATTAAGTATACTGAGTTTTCTGCAACAATGTAAACAAGCATGTTTGTTTCTTTCTTATCATAATTGAGCTAATTCATTTGGAATAATAAATAAGTATTTATCAGTGTGTTATTTTTTTTCACCCGGTGATACATGCCAGCTTCAATATAACATTTTCCAAGACCCGCCTTTCCCACCTCGGGTTTATCTTTACCTATTCTGTCAATAATTTTTCATGGGTCAGTCCCAAAGGAACTCCAGCTTGGGTGTAGGAAAAGGTGTTGCCAATAAGACGTCACGATAATAGCTAAGGATGGTGATAAGCAGTCTTTGATGCATTAAGAAGTCACACTTAGGACTTGGATGTAATGACTGACATAGATTGCAGAGTTGTCAATTCGGGTAAACGGGTCGAGTTTGGGTCGGGTAAGAGTGGGTCGGATCAACTCGGGTTGGGGCAATTCAGATTAAATCCATAACTTATGCGGGTTGGGTTTGGGTTGGGACATGCTTGAGTCGGGTTACGTCGAGTCTTACTTCTAATCAGATTTGGATCGAGTTTAGGTCGGGTTAATAACAGGTCGGGTTACATTCGGGTCGGATGAACAATAGGTCGGGTATAATTCGGGTTTTCACGGGTTAAAACAGGTTAGGGTAATTCTCGGGTTTGAGTCGAGTTCGGTTCAAGTCAATAATTTGCGGGTTAGAATCAGGTCGGGTCATTCTCGGGTTTGATTCAGGCTTGGTTCAAGTCAATAGTTTGCATACTATAATAAGGTTGGGTAATTTCCAAGTCGGGTTATTCTCGGAGTCAAGTCAGGTTATGTTCAAGTCAATAATTTGCATGTTACGATCAGGTCGGGTCATTTCAAAGTCAGGTCATATTCAGGTTTAACTAACTATAAATAGATAATTATCATTTTGACTATAATTTATATGTCAAAATACTAGGGAACTATAGTTCATAAATTAAGAAGATAATTATCTCCATTGACCATACAACAAATATATACTATATTTAACTCTTCAATTTGAGGATGATGCTCCTTTCTTTTGCTGGCTGGACCGACTTGGTCTCCCAAGACAAAATGCTTTGATCAACAATAATAAGGTGGTCTAAATAGCATTTAAGGTAATTTAAAATCGGGTCAGGAACAATTTGGGTTGAATTTCGAGTCGGGTTAGTAACAGATCGGTTTAAATTTTTAGGTTAGGTAAGTAATAGGTAAAGTAAAATTCGGGTCGAGTTAATAACAAGTCGGGTTAAATTTGGATCAAGTCAATAACAAGTTAGGTTAATTTCGGGTCTGGTATGTAACAAGTCGGATTAATTTCGGGTCGGGTTAGTAACAGGTCTGGTTAAATTCGGGTTTTGACAGGTTAAAACGGGTTTGGGTCAATTTCGGTTAAAGTCGGGTTCAGTGCAAGTTAATTAAATTGGCCGTTGTAAACTGGTAAATCGGTGGAAGTTGTAACCGGTAAATTAACCGTTTAAAAGCAAATTGAATGGTTCCACACACCCAATTGGACTCCAAGAAGCAATTTTTATTTCCGGGCGAAAAAAGTCAAAAAATTCCAAAATTGAAGGCAAATATCCACACGTTTTGAGAAATTTTGGGGGTTTCAGGGCCCGTTGTCGAAAAGTCTTGAAATTCTATGGGATAAATCTCGGGGTCATATAAAGTCGTTTGTAACCATATATGATCATTATTTGTTTTCATAAATGTTCGTGGTAGGATTAGATTAACTAAATTGGTCCAAGTTGTAAACCGATAAATTAATCAGTTAAAGGCAAATTGGATGGTTTTACCCACCCAATTAGACTCCCGGAGGATATTAGAGACAATGGTAAACATTTCGGCAATTTTTATATCCAGGTTAAAAAATATCAAAAAACTTCAAAATCGAAGGCTAAATCCACGCTTTTTGAGAAATTTTGGAGGTTTATGTAGAAAAGCATTAATATTTTAAGGGATACATCTCGGGGTCATATAATGCCGTTTAGGACTATATATGATCATTATATGTTGTCATAAATGTTCGTAATAGGCTTGAGTTAATGAAATCAGAGCAACTTGTAAACCAGTAATTAAGGGTTCGTTTGGCATCGCTATGGTTTTCTGTTTTTTGGTTTTTTTTTTTTAAAAGTATATTATATATGTCACATAATAAATCAAAAATTATTTTGAAAACTGACAACAAAAAAGTGGAAACACCTTTTTCTTGTTACTTGTTTTTGGTTTTTAGTTTTCAAAAAAACAGAAAACTGAAAACAAAAACTGATGCCAAATAAGCTCTAAGCAAACAGGATGGTTCCACCAACCTAATTGGACTCCCGAAGGATATTAGGGAACATGGTAAACATTTCGGAAATTTTATTTCAAGGCGAAAAAAAGTCTAAAAATTCCAAAATTGAAGAATATCAACACTTTTTTAGAAATTTTGGAGATTTCGGCCTGGTGTCGAAAAGTCTTGAAATTTTAGGGAATACATCTCGGGGTCATATATGTTCGTGGTAGGCTTGAATTAATGAAATCGGTGCAAGTTGTAAACCGGTAGATTGGTTGTTTAAAAGCAAATTGGATTGTTCCAATCACCCAATGGGGCTCCCGGACAATAATAGGGACCATGTTAAAAATTTCGGCAATAATTATTTCCGGGCGAAAAAAAAAAGTCAAAAATTTCAAAATTGAAAGCTAATATCCATGCTTTTTGAGAAATTTAGGAGGATTCGGGGCGCGGTGTAGAAAAGTCATATAATTCTAGGAGATACATCTCGGGGTCATATAATGTCGTTTGGAACCATATATGATCATTATTTGTTGTCATAAATGTTCGTGGTAGGCTTGAGTTAATGAAATCGGTGCAAGTTATAAACCAAAAAATATGTCGTTTAAAGGCAAATTAGATGGTTCCACGCACCTTATTGGACTTCCGAAGGGTATTAGGGACCATGTAAACATTTCGGCAATAATTATTTCCCGGCGAAAAAAATCTAAAAATTCAAGAATAAAGGCTAATATCTACGCTTTTTGAGAAATTTTAGAGGTTTCAGGCCCGGTATCGAAAAGCCTTGAGATTTTAGACAATATATCTCGGGGTCATGTAATGTCGTTTGGAACCATATATGATCACTATTTGTTGTCATAAATGTTCGTGGCAGGCTAGAGTTAATGAAATCGGTGCAAATTGTAAACCGGTAAACTGGCCGTATAAAGGCAAATTGGATGGTTCCACCCATCTAATTGGACTCCCGGAGGATATTAAGGAACATGGTAAACATTTTTGCAACTTTTATTTACGGGCAAAAAAAAGTCAAAAAATTCCAAAATTGAAGGCTAATATCCACGTTTTTAGAGAAATTTTAGAGGTTTTGAGGCCCATTGTCGAAAAACCTTAAGATTTTAGAAGATACATCTAGGGGTCATACAATGCCGTTTTGAACCATACATGATCATTATATGTTGTCATAAATGTTCGTGGTAGGCTTGAATTAATGAAATCGGTGCAAGTATTATATCGGTAAATTAGTCATTTAAAGGCAAATTGGATGGTTCCACCTACTAAATTAGACTCCTAAAAGGAATTAGGGACCATTCTAAAAATTTCAACAATTTTTATTTAAAGGCGAAAAAAAGTAAAAAATTTCCAAAATTTAAGGCTAATATCCACGTTTTTTGAGAAATTTTGGAGGTTTCGAGTCATCCTTCAGATTTTAGAGGATACATCTCGGTAATATAATGCCGTTTGAAACCATATATGATCATTACTTGTTTTATAAAAGTTCGTGGTAAGCATGATTTAATGAAATCGGTGCAAGTTGTAAACCGGTAAATTGGCCATTTAGAGGTAAATTGGATGAGTCCACCCAGATATTATTAGGGACCATGGTAAACATTTTGGCAATTTTTATTTTCGACCGAAAAAAAGTAAACAAATTCCAAAATTTCACACTAATATCCACGCTTTTTGAGAAATTTTGAAGGTTTCGAGATACGTTGTCGAAAAGCCTTAAGATTTTTTAGGACACATCTAGGGGTCATATAATGCATTTTTGAACCATATATGATCATTTTATGTTTTCATAAATGTTTGTGGTAGGCTTGAATTAATGAAATAGGTGTAAGTATTAAATCGGTAAATTGGTCGTTTAAAGGCAAATTGGATAGTTCCATCCGTTCAATTGGACTCCCGAAGAAGATTAGGGACCACGGTAATCATTTCGGCAATTTTTATTTACAGGCGAAAAAAAAGTCTAAAAATTCCAAAATTGATGATCATATATCCAAGTTTTTTGAGAAATTTCAGAGGTTAGGAGGCCCGTTGTCGAAAAGCCTTAAGATTTTAGAGGATACATCTAGGGGTCATATAATGCCGTTTTGAACCATATATGATCATTATATGTTATCATAAATGTTCGTGGTAGGTTTGAATTAATGAAATTGGTGCAAATATTAAATCGGTACATTGGTCGTTTAAATGAAAATAAGATGGATCCACCCATTCAATTGGACACCGAGGAGTACTAGTGACCATAGTAAACATTTCGGCAATTATTACTTCCAGGCGAAAAAATGTCTAAGAATTCCAAAATTAAAAGCTAATATCCACTTTTTTGAGAAATTTTGGAGATTTCGAGCCCCTGTATCGAAAAGCTTTGAGATCCTAAACAATACATCTCGTGGTCATATAATGCTGTTTGGGATCATATATGATCATTATATGTTGTCATAAATGTTCGTGGTAGGCTTGAGTTAATGAAATCAATGCAAGTTGTAAACCGGTAAATTGGTCGTTTAAAGGCAAATTGGATGGTTCCAGCCAACCAATTGGACTCCTAGAGGGTATTAGGGATCATGGTAAACATTTCGGCAATTTTTATTTCCGGACAAAAAAAAAAGTCAAAAAATTCCAAAATTAAAGGCTAATATCCACACTTTTTGAGAAATTTTAAACGTTTCAAGGCCTTGATTCGAAAAGTCTTAAATTCTAGAGCAAGGTCATATAATGCCGTTTGGAACCATATATGATCATTATTTTGTTATTATAATTGTTCGTGGTAGGCTTGAGTTAATGAAATCGGTACAAGTTGTAAACCGGTAAATTGGTTGTTTAAAGACAAATTGGATGAGTCCACCTAGCCAATTGGACTCCCGGAGAGTATTAGGGACCATGGTAAACATTTTGACAATTTTTATTTCCAACTGAAAAAAGTCAAAAAATTCCAAAATTTTAGGCAAATTTTGGAGGTTTCGGGGCCCGTTTGCGAAAAGCCTAAAGAATTTAGGTGATAAATCTAGGATCATATAATGCCGTTTTGAACCATATATGAAAATTATATGTTGTCATAAATGTTCGTGGTAGGCTTGAATAAATGAAATCGGTGCAAGTACTAAAACAGTAAATTGGTCGTTTAAAGGCAAATTGGATGGTTCCACCCATTCAATTGCACTTTAATTGGACTCCCGAAGGATATTAGGGACCATGGTAAACATTTCGGCAATTATTATTCCTAGGCAAAAAAAAGTAAAAATTCATAAATTAAAGGGTAATATCAACGTTTTTTAGAAATTTTGGAGGTTTCGGGGTCTAGTATCGAAAAGCCTTGAGATTCTAGACACTATATCTCGGGGTCATATAATGTCATTTAGAACCATATATGATCATTATTTGTTGTCATAAATGATCGTGGTAGGCTTGGGTTAATAAAATCGGTGCAAGTTATAAACCGGTAAATAGGCCGTTTAAAGGCAAATTGGATGGTTCCACCCACCCAATTGGACTCCCGAAGGATATATTAGGGGCCATGGTAAACATTTCGGCAACAATTATTTCCAGGCGAAAAAAAGTCTAAAACATCCAAAATTAAAGGCCAATATCCACGCTTTTTGAGAAATTTTGGAGGTTCCGGGGTCCGGTATCAAAAAGCCTTGAGATTCTAAACAATACATCACGGGGTCATATAATGTCGTTTGGAACAATATATAATCACTATATGTTTCATAAATGTTCGTGGTAGGTTTGAATTAATGGAATCGGTGCAAGTTGTAAATCGGTAAATTAGCCGTTTAATGGCAAATTAGATGGTTCAACCCAACTAATTGGACTCTTAGAGGGTATTAGGGACCATGGTAAACATTTCGGCAATTTTTATTTCTGGACAAAAAAAAGTAAAAAATTCAAAAATTAGAAAATTTAGAAGTTTCGAGCCCGATGTTGAAAAGTCTTAAAATTCTAGAGGATATATCTCAGGGTCATATAATGCCCTTTGGAACCATATATGATCATAATTTGTTGTTATAAATGTTCGTGGTAGGCTTGAGTTAATGAAATTATTGCAAGTATTATATCGGTAAATTGGTCGTATAAAGGCAAATTGGATGGTTCCACCCACCCAATTGGACTTTTGGTGGGTATTAGGGACCATGGTAAACATTTCGGCAATTTTTATTTACGGGTGAAAGAAAGTCAAAAAAATCCAAAATTGAAGACTAATATCCACGCTTTTTGAGAAATTTAGGAGGTTTCGGGCATAGCTGTCAATTCGGGTAAACGGGTCGGGTTTGGGTGAATAAGAATGGGTCAGGACGATTCGGATTAATTCCATAACCTATGCGGGTCGTTTTTTGGTTGAGTCATGCTTTTGTCGGGTCATGTCGGGTCATCCTTTTTATCGGGTTATGGTCAGGTAACATTCGGTAAAGTGAACAATATGTCGGGTTTAATTCGGGTTTTCACGGGTTAGGGTAATTCTCGGGTTCGATTCAAGTCAATAATTTGCGAGTTAGAGTTAGGTCAGGTCATTTTCGAGTTTGAGTCGAGTTCGGTTCAAGTAAATGATTGGCAGGTTATAATTGGCGCGGTTCATTTTCAAGTCGAGCCATTTTCGGGTTCAAGTCGGGTTCGGTTCAAGCCAATAATTTGCGAGTTATAATCAAGTTAGGTCATTTCCAAGTCGGGTCATTCTCGGAGTCAAGTCAGGTTATGTTTAAGTCAATAATTTGCAGGTACAATCAGGTTAGGTCATTCGGGTTCAACTAACTATAAATAGATAATTATCATTTTTCTCAAGCTAATTATTTCCCTTGACTATAATACATATGACAATATACTAGGGAACTATAGTTTATAATCTAGGAAGACAATTATCTCCTTTGACCATACAACAAATATATACTATATTTAACTCTTAAATTTGAGGATGATGCTCCTTTCGTTTGCTGCCTAGACCTACTTGGTCTAAATTGCATTTAAGGTTATTTGAAATCGGGTAAGGAGGAACAATTTGGGTTGAATGTAGGTCGGGTCAATAACAAGTCGTGTTGATTTCGAGTCAGGTTAGTAATAAATCAGGTTGAATTTTTAGGTCGGGTTAGTAATAGGTCTGGTAAAATTCGGGTCGAGTCAATCACAAGTAGGGTTGAATTCGGGTCAGGTCAATAACAAGTCGGGTTGATTTCAGGTCGGGTTTGTAACAGGTTGGGTTAAATTCGGGTCGGGTTAGGAACGGGTCGGGTTGAATTTAGGTCAGGTTAATATCAAGTCGGTTTAAATTCGGGTGTTAACGTGTTAAAACGGGTTTGAGTCAATTTCGATTCAAGTCGGGTTCGGTTCAAGTCAACAATTTACAGGTGACATTCAGGTCGGGTCATCCCGAGGTCGGTTCATGTTCGGGTCTCACATACTCGAGTCAACTCCGGTCTAGGGTTGGTTTCAAGTCGAGACAGGTCGGGTTTGGGTCACCATTTTTTCAGGTTCAGATGGGTCGGTTAATAATCGGGTTTAAGTCGGTATTTCGGATCGGGTCAACTTTTGACACATCTAGTGAATACTTGTGACAAAGTTTATCCACCTACTGTCCCAAGATTTGCATGGTAAAGTACTAGAATGGGAACAAAATCAAAATATGTAAATGGAGGCAATAATTGTTCTTGGTGAGACTAGATGCTTAATAACCTAATATTTGTAAAGAAGCGAAAAGCAAAGCATACCATGCTCATCACCGCTAAGCTTCTTGTATAATTAGTTCGCCTGTACAGCCAGACTTCTGACGTGCGACTTTTCAACCAAAGTACCTTTCACAATATATTCAAGTCATCAGGATTAAAACAAAAATGAGAGGTAAAAAAAGCAAGATGAATTATTTCAGATTACTAGACAAGTACATACCTTTGCTAAATCATTTCCTTCGGTATTTTGCAGAGCATATTCAAATACTTCTACTTTGGATATGAGTGGTAAATGGTCATAATCTGGCGCAAAACTGAGCATCAACCTGTGTTCTTGATTTAAGGTGATCTGATAACCATTAAAACGAGAACGATCAGAGAATGAGTTAATGATGCATAAGCAGTAAAAGAAAATTTCAGTCGGCTTCAATTAACCTTTCTAGCATCCCTGTACTCTCTTATGAGGTGATGTAAAGTATCACAATTAGGCACCCATCCAATTAGCCCACTATTCGGAGACAAAGGAATGACAGAATATCGTTGGATGGAAAGATCTTTTTCCGAGGTTTTACGAGCATTCTCTAGAAGAGTATTCACCAAACCAAAAAGCTGCAAAAGATTCAACCATGTAATTAATTGCCTGCAGAAGAGGCTTTATCTTAATAGTCTTCTTTATAATTATGTGGATTTACCTGCATGACACGTTCATCTTGACGTAGGTCTTCATGTCCCTTGAGCAAGAAAGCATAGTCATCTCCATCACTACCATGAATGGTCAACTTACGAGGCCGTTGTTTAGAGGTCATTACCGTAAGTTGAGGTGCAAATGACTTTATAGTCACAACTGGTGCATCTAGAATATCGAAGCCAACAAAAGTATTACATTAATAGTTGAGACACCTAAATTTAGCTATGAGTCATACAATAGCACTCACCAGCACGATAGGTTCCAGGAACAGCAAGTTCCAAATTTCGACAACTAAGCAACTCTGGCGAAACTGACTGTTCATGGAAATATGGAGATTCAAAGAACGCCATAATTAACACTTAAAATATACATTGACATTATAGCAAATTTAAATTGTTTGAACATGAACCGTGCCTGCAAGTCTAGGGTAGTAAGTGACTGAAGCTGCCTATCTATCTGTCGAAAGACATGATAATAAAGGTCCCAGGCCTGGCAAAAAGAAAATATGCATTAGATACACAAGGGTTGAACAAATTACATCACCCTCAAGCAATTAGTAAATTTTTTTTGAAATACTTGAAAACTTCCAATAAAAATTTAGGTAAGATGCAGGCGCAAGATAGCAAGTGCATGCGATCAGGCAAGATGATGCATATGCCAGCTTCAATTCCCAAATGGTTCTATTGTAGTACAACAAATGATTCCTGGCAACACATCTTAAAATTTGAAGTGAAGTATGAACAAATGATTTATTAGAGAAAATTAAATCATGGATGCCAGCTAACAATTTCAAACGCAATCAGCAGGGAGGGAGTATGATTGTTTCAACCTAACACCATATGCAGCTACGGAGCGGAGCCATGGATGAGGCAATGAGAATTATAAATCATCTATCATACACAACAAGAGTATAGGTGGTCCTCCTCTCATTCCAGGGGGATTGGATGAGGGAAAAGTGGGCATGACCCAAGTAATTTATTAGTCATCTGGGTCTCATTTGTCAATAAAAGTGTACTATCGTTAACTGCCTGCAATTGGCATTGGATATTAATTGTGTTAAGACACAGGTAGTCTGTGGAAACTTATGTCACCTGCTCTGACAAAAATATAATTAAATCACGAGAGCCCTAAAGCTTTTTTTCATACTCAGATAAGGAAAAGCACCAACAAAATAGTTTTCTAAGTGAAACAAACTAAGAACACATAAACCAAGCTGAGCCTTACCAGCTCAAGGCCTGGCTCAGCTACGTTAGATCTGCTAAAGCGAAATAATGCTCGACACAAGCCTCGATCGAGCAGAGCTCACCAATGGGAATGATATCATTTTAGAATTGTGAATTGTGATAATAAATTTGCTAAACGGAAAAATAGATTTTTATTCATATGCTACCTTTGTTTCATATTTTTTGCAACTTTGTGGTATCATTTGTGAGATATAAAATATTCAAAAGTTGCAAAAAATATGAACGGAAGTAGTAAAAACTATTTATAAGGAAATTAACTATCAAGATTGCCGAATACTCTCATTATCCTGATTTGGTTTGGTGGTGATTCAAAATTCCAATTGAAATAATTCAGATACCCCAACCAATTAGCAAAATCTCGGACACCTAACACAAACTTTAGAGCACTTGAAGCAGGGAAGTACCTCTTCCTGAGTCAAAAGAACATGCTCTAATAGTAGGCGCTAAAGAAATAGACTTTAGCAAGTTCTAGGACAATCCTAGTCATGCAGATTTCTTTGGTTGGCAGTTAAAATGTCTGACATCTTGAATGAAAAAGCAAGGCTTGTTCTCTATAGTATACCAAAGTAAGTTCTGCATCTTTCCCAGTTCTCTTGTATCTCATGCAGCATTCATAAGCTTGAAGCAAGTCCTGGCGATATGTCTGGAGTGCAAAAAATTGAATTATCTTGCTTGTATACAAGGATGTTTGTCATGTACATGGTGCAAAACAGTAGGTTTTTTTTTTTTTATTATTTTAGGAATTTCTCACTTTGCAATCTCAAAGTCAAGTGAAATTATAATAAAGAAGACAAACTGACAATTTGCTTGAACTAAAAAGATTGTATTGATGCAATTTATGAAGAAAAGGCCACCTGAATGAAGGTCATCTCGTTAATGGTAGTGATATCCCTCATGGCACCTTCCTCCAACATCTCATGCAATGGTTCAAGGACCTTTAACATTCCCTCTATATTGTGTTCACCAAAATAGAGACGACTAGCTTCTTCCAATCCTTCATGCCACATTTCATGCCATAATATTGCCACCCTAATTAGCTCCTTTGATACTAGTTGAGCCTGTACACATAGAATCAAATTATATATAGGTAAATTACGAAATACCAACTGAAAATTAAACATAATACCATTTCCATATTTACCTCATCAACAAGTGCACTGCTATGTTGACGTACTTTGTCAACTACTTTTTGAGCAGCAGCTCTACGTAGGTCACTTATTGATTTGCATGCCACAAGAAGAGGATACATAAGAGCCTGTGCAAAAATTATAGAAATGAGCAATGGCGCACACACATAAGAAATTAACAAGCACAAGAAGAGAAATGGGACCATAATTAGAAGATTAATTTAAGAATTCACCAGCATAGCCGTACACCAAGAAAACTACTTTCTCAAACGAAACCTGAGCCAAGACTGGATAGTCTATGAAATCTTGTAGAGCAATTCTATGAGCTACTTTTCTTAGTTGCAGCACTTACTTTAACCTTGCTAACAAACAACTTTAGCTATCAACAACTATCACTATCTATTAGAATAATCCATAGTTTACATTATAAATAAACATATTATGGTCAAAGTTAATACATGGATAGCGTAAAAGTGAATGATGCAGCTAATAAACAGAAGTAGTAAATTTAGAGATAAGATAAAGTAATTTAAGGTAAACCCAAATCACTTGTAAATAAGTTCAGAGCACTATATCACAAGGTATATAAATCTCTAGCAAACAAAGAAAAAGTAAAAACTTAAATCATTCACACACCGACACCAAGAACCCTAAAAAAATGCTTAGCTACTTCTTATAATCAATTATATGCATTTCTCTCTTTAAAATGTTTAGCTAGTCCTCAATAAAAAATAAGCCTTTTTTTTTAGTCGTTATCAGGACAGTAAATGTACTTAACAGCTCCAGTAATACATATCTTTCAACAATTTTGTTATAATCATAGCACTGGCAGTTATTATTATGAATTATAATAAAGGTGAACCTGAGGATGGTTTTGTCCAATCCGCACTAAAAGAGATTGTATGAGTTCTCTAACAGCATGATTGTTAGAATGAATCCGAGCAATAATTTGAGGTAAAACAACAAGCCAAGTGTCTATGCTGACAAGTTGAAATCCCCTTTGAAGAGCCATTTGAACCTCAGCAGTTGACCCATGATTGAACCACAGAGTAAGAAGACGGAGTATGTCCTACACAGGAAAGGAAGTTTGGTCATGTGTCTCATAGAGTCAATTCATACAAAGAAAACTCTGGATACGGAAGGACAAACAAATACTTAGACTGCAGAATGAGAAATGCCACATCATAACATTCACAAAGGTCATTAAGTCATAATGAAAGGAGAGTTAAGGAAGAAAAGGTTCATTCACCCAAAGCAGGACCATGTAGCTTATAAGTAACCAAATTTGAATAACACAAGAGACAATAGATACTTTAGAAAACACGATAAGCAGAAATGAAAAATCTACACTTGCTAAGAATACACACTAAAGTGAAGATTTTCACAGAAAATTTTTTCCTCCATAATATTGCCATTTTTTTTTATTATTATACTACCTCTGTTCTTTTTTGTTAGAACTACTATTCTTGCTAAAAACCTTTGACCATCTATTGCTACTTATAATTGTTTGAACATGTGATATCCAAATATAAATTTTTCATAATATATGCGCAATTCAAGATATGATTTGGTCAAACATGTGCATTGGAGACTGCACAAAATGCAAGTGATTTGAACAAATGGAAGGAGTATTTACCAAAAAGCATTTATGACAACACTATCTCCTATGAAATAATAAAAAAAAAAATTAAAAGTTAAAATATTTTTTCCTCCACTACCACATCTCATTAATTAAATGCACCAACTTGTATTTATTATAACCGTATTGCTCCTTATTGAATTTTTAATTTCCTAAGCTGGTTGTCTAAGCAGGATTAAAAAAATAGCAAGGGTTGACCAACATAAATTGAGTAAATTTCAATTCATTTCTGAGCATTAGGGGATTAAATAGTATAACAAAAAACCAAAATGTGTAATTCACCAAACGTTGACGTGTTAAGGCACTGAACCTCGAAATCTCAACTTCTTTAAGGGCATTATAGACAGATACAAGGCTCAAGCAGTACTTTGGCATTAGAATCTACCTGCAAACTGTCATCAACATCTTTAGAATTTGCGGCACATGCTATAGAGTGGAAGTATCCAGTGACAGCGGCAACAACAAACTGCCCTACTGTACTTGCAAAACCTCCAAGTGTATAATGTGACATAACGGCTGTATTAAATAAAGCCCAAGAGTGCCAAGCTTTCCCCCAATTAGGTGCACACTGCGTAGCTTTTCCTAATGAACCAATTATGTCTGCAAACGATAGTAGATTAAATCATCACAAAAAAAGTTCAACAAATTTATCATCTATCCACAAAATATCCATAAAAAATGGCTACCTTGAATGGATTCGTCATCAAGTATTGGAGTGAGTTCGCGTTGCCAAGTGCCAAGTTTGAGATATACACGGGCAACAAGAGGAGTGGCTGGTGTAGAAGCATTTATCAATGATGTTTGAGAGGTGGGCAGAATACTTGACACACTAGAAAGTTCGTTGGCCAAACCCTGCATACATTTAAAGGTGTGGGTTAATTTAAGACCACAGCTTGTTTTCTAGTCAGCCTGGACTATAATGAGATCTCATGGTACCTGCAACCTTGCAAATGCATCCCGTCGCTTGTGATCCTCCCCAAGTGACCATAAATATTTCAAGTACGCAAGCATCACTTGAGGAGGTCCACGGTAATGTACATTTCTCGGAGATGTTTCAAGATCATACTAGACAAAAGTGAGACAGCAAAAACCATCAATAATAACGGAAGTTGAAAATGACAAATTTTGATTGTATAAGTTACTGCAGATTTATAAATGAGCTGTATGCACATCATTTTTAAATGTTGTACAAATATAATTATACTTGTCATTGATATAACCGAGAATTTTCAAATATTGTAATGGATATTAAATGAATGCACCGCTACCTGAAGAAGTTTAATTAATGTGGATTTGGCTTGATTGATCCGTCCACTTTTTCGGCACAGAGAAGAAAATTTCAACCATGTTTCGGTGTCTTCGGCTGGAGGTAGGACAAGTGCTCTTACTACCAATAGATGTTGCCAAACCTACAGATCCAAGTGTACAGAAGTTAAAAACATACCTTCAAATTCCAAACACAATAATAAATCTTAAATATAGGCAATAGGTACTTTCTCAGTCCGCTAGAACAGAACTATAACAACAATAATCGACGCAACCAAAACTAAAATGGAAGAACAGGAAAGGCAATGTAACTAACACAGTGAGTAACATGTATTTTTGGAAAAATGCTGGCAGATTTTTGATGCTTCAATATTGGTACTATAAAATAAGATCATTGTATAGCTTAAATTGAGCTTATTGGACTCAGCAAGCTCTATAACAAACCCAACAGTTTTTTAGGTAGGTGGAACAGACTGCTATACTTGCGGCAAAAGAGACTGAAAAACAACAGATCAACCTCAATATTACGCTTCACTCCGTGTATGCGTTGAGTCCACATATTCCGTATAAGTGTACGGCGCCCCTCTGCGACTGGATTACCAACAGGTAGAGTACAATAATCAATCACCTGGCCAATAGGAATTTGATAACAGTGATTAGAAAAGGATAAAATACACCTCTAAATTTTTAATAGGATTGCTCAATTACCTCCTCTAGTTCTGACAATTGTTGAACACGGACCATATTGCTGTATGCGCGCTCATAACTCTCAAGAACCTATAAATAAGAGTTTTGGTTATATTAGGAACATACTTAACAAGTAGGAGGTTCATGCTTTCCATAAAGTCACCAGTAAATAGAAGCTATGTGACTCAGACTCTTCATTTTACCTCTCAAGTACCTGTGTCGGACCCTCGACACTCATGGATATGACACTTTATTTTAGTTACAAATGCATAATTAAAGATATTAACAGTTCAAGTTATGCTAGGCAACACAAAAAACAGAGGAAGTAGTATCCTAAACATTGGTAGCCAACGCAGACCTCCTCTTTTCACTTATTGCATGCCAAGCAACCAAGCCTGGGCAGTGAGCAGATTATAATTCAACATCCACAAGGAATGTAAACTAATGCATCCACCCCACAATAGAAATCTTGTACCCAAAGGGACCTATTCATCCAAATACCAGAAAGTCACCCCAAATCACATTAAATGAAAGCTGGCTTTCATGTGATTTGGCTCACATTTATGCAGATGGGAGTAGCTTATATTGGATGTGGACAACTAATTTCTTTCGCATAAAAACTACAAGTTTTCTGCAAATCAGAAATCAACCTTTACTTTAGATTCAGAATCTAGGCTTCGTGGTTCAAATTGACCTTTTCTGGTATCTATTAATTTCCAATAATTATCTTCCCTGTATTTTTTCACTCCATTAGTCACTCCTAGCAATTTCCAGAACTTCAGCCTTTTTTAAGAGCTTGTATATCTTATATCTACATATTGCCTGGTAGTTAACCATTGCAAGAACAAGTAGCATTGATAGACATTCAGCGCAAGATGGACCCTAATTTTTCTAGCATCAAAACAAGATATGGGTAGCTTTGTGAATTTATTTTGCTTGGTAAGGCATTCTTATACGGAAAGCAATTCCTGAATTAGACATTACCAGAGCTGCCAGCTCTGTGGCCAAGCACTTTCTTGCCCTCTCAACATATTCTCGAGCTTCATCATACTGAAAAGGAAGGAAATAGATCGTGTCAAGAAAAAAAAAAAAAAGCAAATATTAAATAAATTCATTTGATACAACAAGATAAAAAAAGATTTAAAACCCACCTTTCCACGCCGAACAAATAGAACAGCCCGAAAGAATGTACCGTTACTGCTTCCATCACCAGTAGCAGATGTATTTACCAAAACACGAAATTTTGTTTCATCACCATCGTCAAGGCTTTTAACATATTCTTCCATTTGATTCCACTCACCCATGTTCCAAGCAGCACTGGCAGCCTGGAAAAGTAACCTCGGTTAAAATAAAAAGGAAATATAGTGCACCAAAGCAGCATTAAAAATTCCTTTCTCTAATATGAGCTCAAAAATAAATTCCAAAAAAAATCTGTAGGAAAATAAGGCAAGACATTGATCCAACGAATTCAACGAACTGAAGAAACTAACCATTGGTGCCATTTCCAATCTAGCTGCTTGCTCAGCTGGAGTCCAATAATCCTTACACAGTGTGTGAAGCTCTTCCCAGCGGGCAAGTGCTGCAAGGCACCTCATTCTCCCTGCAAAAACCAAAAGAATTAGAGATTTAACTTTCTAATCAATGCATTAATAATGCAGGAGGGCTCTGAGTGAAAGTTGGACAAGTGACAGATAGGTATATTATTGAATTACATCACAAGTCTGAGACTCTTAACATGGTACAAATACTAATAGCAAAACAAAAAGTACCATCGTACCAAATTCACATGAATCATATTGACATACATTAATGTTCAGGCCTCTTTGGTTTGCGGGAAGTGGAGGGCAAAAAATACTAGAGATACTAATATCAAAGAGATTGGCTGATGCCTTACTGTCAGAAAATGACGAGAATGCATGGAATGTTACGTATATTATTTTCAGATTATGAAGAGAATCCCTAACATGAAAGTTGTGCCCCCGCACCACATATACTTTTAAAATAACAAGGATAATAGATGTTAGCTGCATACAAGCAGAACTAGAAATTAGTCTGTTAAAGCGTAAGAGACACACAAGCAGAGCAAGAGGTAGTCATTAATAAACCTAGCTGGCTCTCATACATATGTTCAAAAATGTGGGGAGATGCTGAAATAAGAGAAAGCAGTAAACCAATTTGATACAACAAATCAAAAATAAGATGTTGAATAACCTAATTCATCCCCCACCAGCAAAAGAAACAAAGATAATTCTGGAAAGTGGAAACCAACTGAAAAACCTAAACCAAAGACTAACTGCTGATACTGATAGGGATCAATAAGATCTTATACCTAATGTAGCTTCCTGTAAAGCATGAGGATTTGTTGCTTGAGCTGCTTTTGCTGTATAAGCCTTCAAAGCATCATCCCAGCGTTGTAACTTCTCATACCTAAATTAGAAAACAAGAAAAATTGAATCATGCAAAGACAAAGCAACTAGCAAAAAGGATTTTAAAGATCAGTTAATCCTTACCATGACTCCTTCAATTGAACATCTAAATGCTGTTGTGCATAGGTCAAAATTCCTACAGCAGCCTACACATGAGACAACAATTAACAAACAGTAAAACAAACCATACAGTGTGGATTTAATTGAAAAACAAAAAAATATCAGAGAATCTTCACAACCTCATGCTGATGCAACTGATTATTAATATGGATAAGTGCTTCAACGACAGCAACCGGATTGGCGTCCATGTTTCTAGAACGAGGACCTTCAAACTCCATTTCCTTGTAGTGTAATGCCTTGGCGAATGCTCTACACTGATAGTTTATTGAAAGAAGTAACCAAGTTATTTGAATATCCATCTACAATCATCTTCAGTCACAGGCTGCTGAAGAAATGAACAAACAGGACAATATTGAAACAACGATAAAACCGTACCTTCTCAGCAAGAGCTCCAAGGAGACGTATATCAATAGGTAGAGGTTTCTCGTCATGTTCCATGAACTCTGCCTAAAAAGACCAGATGACAAAAATATCGAAGACATTATAATTGGATTTCATCAAAACATACAATTAAGATGAAATTTTTTCCATGAAGGCGGATGCACAATGCTCCGTGCATCCGCTTTCTTTTTAAAAAGGCGGAATGAACATTTAATTGTTCAGTAAAGAACATACTGTTATTTTATAAAGAACATCTAGCTATTTTATACAGAACATCACATATTATTGTATTGTAATGAACATATAGTTGTTTTGTAAAGAACCTATAGCTATTTTGTAAAAAAAAACATCAAACTTTATGTTCTTTATATATATCTAAAGAACATTTGTAATATTAATAAAGAACATGATAATTAGAGGTGGTCAACTTCAGCCCGGCCCGATCCGACCCAAAAATAAGGTGGGTTTGAGCAAGCCTAAAAATGCATTATTAGTTAAAAATCCAAACCCGACCCGAAGAAAGCCCAAAAAGACCGCTATATTTTCCGGGGTTGGGCACGAGATATCATGTTAAGGCCCGGCCCGACCCGAATTTTTGATCACCTATAATGATAGTTTAATGTAATGAACATTATTTTTATTCAACCACCATAATCTAAAGACAAAATTCAAAAAACATTTCAAAATAAACAATTAACACTATGTCACAAATAAAAGTACATTATACTAACAATCTAAGAAAATGAAGATAAAAAACATCATTTAACATTCTATAACATGTTCTTTTCATTTTATAGAAATGTTCTTTACATTTCTATACAATGTTCTTTACAATTCTATAACATGTTCTTTTAACTTTAACTAAATGTTCTTTACATTTCTAAACAATGTTCTTTCAGTTTCTTTTTTTTTTGGGAAGGGTTGCACCATGCAGATCGTGCATCCGCCTGCGGGAACCACGCATTGGTCAATGGAAGAGATAAAAAAAATGGTGACATGCTTGAATTAATTATGATAACAATAAAAGAAAGAAATATCTGTATACAAAATAGAAAGAAAATTATAAACCGGAACATAAGTTTTGTGTCCTCTAGTTTATCTATACTAAAAAGTATATATAAACATCTAACAATTGGGGTGCATCAATTCCTAAGGATGAGGTCTTATTCCACTACTAAGGAAGTTATTGTGTTTATTTCCTCAACTCAAACCACTTTAAAACAATTATACGTACAAAATAAGTAAAAGATAGTCAGGAGCTCAGGATGGTTAAATTTGAATGGTGTAGTGCATGGAAAGATAATTAACAATTTTTTATTTTATTTTTTTGATAAAACAAGTATTTTAAATTAGTTACAAGTAATAAATAGGTGAAAGATATACAAGGAAGATGGAACAGTAAGCCCAGGCACAACTTATTAAAGTGAAATTTCTTTTAAAAGTACTCCCACTATACTCCCCCATCCAGACCCAAGCTTCTAATCTGGAAAATTTCAGTAAGTGCAACAGCTTTGGAATAGGCTCTAACTTACCCCTTTGCATTTCATAGGCGAATGGAAAGGAATATGAGAAAGTCTGAAAAGCGGGGTAAGCGGAAAGGGAGAATAATGAACACAGACGGTGACAATGAATGCAAAAATACCAACATGCATGATGCATTACAAGAAGTCAAAATGACAAATTGAAATGCAAAGTATTGCCATTACAAAACCCCACGATTGAATTAAAAACACACAATAGAACATGATTGAATACCAGATTAAGAAGAGTTGCCAGAATCTCAGGGGGTATATTTGGTGAAGAAAATGCTGTCTCCAATTGTCGAACCAACTGCTTTTGACTTGTCTCATTAAGTTGAGCCCAACAACTGACAAAACCAGCAGCAAATAGTTCTCTCCCAACAAAAGGCTGGAGATCCCTGGGATTAAAAAAGAAAATCATAATAGAAGTGTTGAAGTGAGGCAGCTTTATATGTGAACGTACCTGTAACTGTGCAAGCCTAGCACAAGTTCTTAAAGCTGGAGAAGGAGATTCTCTAAGTAGTTCAATACTAAAATGCCTCATCCATTCAGCCCAATCTTCTTTAGTACTACGCTGAGAAGCCTCCCCAGCAGTACGTAAACGTCCATCATTGACCTGATTAAGTTGATATGTACACAAGACACCGTTAGCTAGAGGGTGTTGGTCTCTTTATTGTGTGTGCATTTCGGTGTAGTGTGCTACTTTTTTAATAAAAATATAAATAAATTTGTGGAGTGCCCCTCTTCCTGAAAAGCAGTATCCAGCTATTGGCAATTTGGCCTGTCTTTTGAGTCAGGACTAGGTGTTGTTTACAAGAGACTAAAACAGCATCTGACATAGTAGTCTCAAAATGATAATATTCTTCAAGTATATATATAGCAAATTGTTTAGTGGACAAGAAACAAGGAATCATTGTTAGCAAATAGGTGACTAAGTTTCAAAAGCTAAAGAAGAAAGCACCTGATGGCTTTTGACATCTCGGAGCATGTCACATCCATCACTATAAGGATCATATTCTGCATCATTCAGAGGATCACTTATAACTTCTACAGGAAGGCGTCGGCTTAATCTTTGAGCAGCCGTACTTCCAGAAATTAGAGGTTCTCGTCGCCGAAAGCGCCCTTCTATCTCTTCAAATTCCTTGTGCTGGAAAAGTCAAATATCATAGACCAGATATGAGAAGAAAAGAAAAGGCTATCATATATCAATCACAAACAAAGAAAGAAAGAACTTTAAACCAGGACAAAGATGAAGTACCCGCAACCTATGCTTCAGCAAAAGCTTGTGAATGGATGGGATGAAAATAGCAAAGTCCTCACCAAGGGCATGCGCAAGACAACAAAGTGCATCAACAGCATCCTTCCGGAGCTCATCATTTTTCCTGAAAGTGTGAAGCGTAACTGGGCAAGGCTTAAAAATTGTAAAATTTCATGAGCTGCATAAATCACTTTAAATTTTAGACCTCCCAATTTAAACATGACAGATGTTATACTACCTCCGTTACATGTTTTGTGCAACATTTTCCAAAAACAGATGCTACACTTTATGTGCAACAAAAATTTCTTTCCTTTTTAGGCAAGTTTTTTAAAATGAAATTACCACAATACCCCCAATTTAAAATTAATAACAATACTTAATTTACTAACCCAAATTCAATTAATCAAATAATCACCCCCTTCTCTCTCCTACCCCCTTTCTTCTCTTATACCTGAAAACAGAACCACCATCATCATCAACGACCACCGCAAACACCACCAACCCAAGATCATCAATTCTACCATCAACACCACCGAAACCATACCACCAACACCACCCGTTCACCACCAACACCAAGACCACCACAAACAATCGACTACGACCACCAAAGGCCGCCGTTTCGACCTCTAACCCCTCCCGTTAGAGTCGCTGCCCCTCCTCGTGAGAGTCCCCGCCCCCCTTGTCGAAATTGAAATTAAAACCCTAGAAATTGAAAACCCAAAAGGGGATCGGAATGAAATATTAAGTTTGAAAACTCAAATCTAAAGCAAAATTGGCAAATATGGGAGGTGAATTTGGGGGAATTATGACCGGTTTTATTAGTGGGTTTGAGGTGGCTTCGGGATGGGTGGTGGTTTTGGTGGTTATGGCGGGGTTTTCAGTAGTTCTAAGGTGGGTTTTAGGATCTTGGAGGTAGTGTGGTGGGTTGGTATGGTACTTTTGGTGGTTCGTACGGGGGTTGGTGGTGTGTCTGTTGATAGTGGCGAAAATGGGTGGTGTTGGTGATGCAGTGGGTGATAATGATGGTTGGGTTGAGATTTTAATTTACTAATCCTGTCATAATCACATGCCTACATTTTTGCTAATCAACTTTTTCATTTTTTTTCTTGGGAAGTGTGCAAGCCTCTTTGTTGCACTTAACATGCAACGGAGGTAGTATTAAGAGATAGCATACCACCCATGTAGTTTAATCAAACCACCAAATAATATCCTTTAGGTTCAACTTTGATTTACAAAGCAAAACCTGCAAGCTAAAGACTGCTTCCCCTTCCTAAGCTTGAGGCGATTAAAGGGATACAAAGTTATTATTGTTTTGTCATCCATGCCAAAACACCACTATATGAACCTTAACTCCTTAATATAAGCAAGCATGGTGAACTGAACTTTAGAAGGGTATTCTATCAAAATTTCACAACAGTGACTCAAGATGCTCTACAACTGTTAAAATAAGATATCACACCCCTAAACAGGAATATTTCTGGAAGCAAATCCAACCTCTCCAACCCAACCTTGCCTTAGTCTTCATGACAACTCCAATCGAGTTACAGACGGACAGGAAAGTTTATTCTATTTACAAATTAATGCTAGCACACAGTATGTGCACTATGTGCGAGTGCGTGTATGTGTATGGGTGTGTGTAAAGAGAGTGAGAGAGAGAGTCCATTTTGGCAGTTTATAAACATGGCATTCTGGGAATTACTATGATAATACATGCTGACAGGCTGACATAGTTTAGTATTTTCTATGCATTCTCCCATTCCATCTGTTTCCTCAAGTTTAGGACAAAGTATCGTCACAAAACTGATAAGAAATCCAGATGAGAAACTAACCCATCCAAAACGAGCTTCAAGTGATGAACAAGAGACGATATATGGCCAGCAACCTAAAGAAAGGGAATATAAATCAAAGCAAAGGTGTTAAATAGGACCAAAAGCAGAAGAATTAATACATGATAGAATTATAATCAGAGATAACAACCTGCACTCTAGGAATTAATCTAGTAAGAGTTTTAATTGATGCACGTCTTATCTCCACTGAAGCATCCACTTTGAAAAGACGGATGAGTGCCGGAAGAAGCAGATGCATATGTTCATCTAATGTTCCTGTATCAAAAAATAAAAAATCATAGCATCAGCACAAATAACAAAGTTTCTGAAGAATGTCTTACACATCCATACTGCCACAAAGCATGAACTCTAATAAATATTTATCACACCTCCAAAAACTTCAAGAGTGTGGAGAATATCTGGAACATAAGTATAATCATTGCACTTTTCTGCATCACTGAGAACTTGTATGCAGCGTGGAAGAATAACAGGAAGATATGTCCTAAATTCATCGTTTAGTGCCACACAGAGTTGTTCTACCAAATGCAAAACCTGGGAATGGTAAGGGTGCATAATGTTACAAGTGAAAAAGTTGTTACACAATTAGGAAAAGAAAAAGAATGCAAAGCTTACAGGCAAACCACGCACAGAACGGTTGACTGCTGGCAAAGAAAAGGAAGACCATAGCTCAGCAATTAGAGCAAGCAGGTCTACAAGATATTTACGGATATGCTGCATAGGAGAACTTATTTTGTTATAGCATGCACTCCAACAGATCATGTGAGTACAAGCTCAAAAATTGCACGTCATGAGCTAAGAAAGAAAAGCCTCATTACCTGACGCACAATAGATACCAATGTTCCAAATTTCCACGTAATAAAGTCCTTCAAGTTATCATCACAAGCTCGAACGATTTGGAAAAGATCCGGCAAAACCTACATTGCAATACAGGTCAAATTACAGATGAATTGGGAAAAGAACCAGACTTACATAATCCTTAACTGTAGCACAGCTAAACACCATTGACAATTGGACTATGCGTAAATAGATAGAGTTAAATAAAGCATAGATGAATCAGAAATTCTAAAGATAAAAAGCCACAGTGAATTAATGTTTTTATGTTTCCCTGTAATTTAATCTTGTTGTTCAGGAGTGTAGCATAAACCAGATATGTATCCCATATTTAGCAAGCTAATAAAGCATATATCCTAAAAATTTTGAAACAATTGGAGTGACATTTGAATCTAAAAGGTTTCCAGAAACCAGGAACTTTGTCTGCACCAACATAAATCAGTTCGATAACTGTTGTAAATAAAAATTACGTTCACTGTTTTAGAATTTTAGAGACAAGTTGAAGCAAGGTTCATATAATGTCCACGAAACACAAAAGGAAGGGGCGTGCAAATCGATTCGGTTAACCATATTTGAAAGCGAAGGCTTGTTTGGAATTGTTTGTTGTTTGTTGTTTTTTGCTTTCCGTTTCCTTTTTTTTAAAAAGAAAAAACCAAAAACAAGAAAAAGGTGTTTCCACTATTGTGTTGTAGTATTCAAAATAAACAAGTTTTTACTAAGTTTGACTAATTTTTTTGATTCATTATATAACATATGCATATATCATATAATTGTAAAAACAAAAAACAGAAAACCACAACAAAACCAATCTAACTAATCAAACGGATGTCAGTTAAACACTAAACAAACAATCTTAAAATGAATAATTTCAAATTTATTCATTAATATGGTTGATTCAGGTAAACGGAATTCAAAAAATATAAACCACCCAGATTTATTATTATTTTTATAAACCAAAATATTTGGTTCAGTTAGACATCATACTAGTTTTGATTTGACAGTTTTCAGTTTTGATATAGGTTTTCCTTTATTTTTCACAGCCCTATTAAACTATAGGATACACATTGGTAGGCACCGTTACTCATATTTTATATAGTATCTGTATTTAAAAGTTGTTCTGCATTGTAAAGGTTTTTCTCACACAAACTTTTATTTTATTTTTTTATTATTATTTATCAAAGGTATGATTGGAGACACATAAACCAACCGAAACATTGTAATATTAATTTGACCATCCATGCAACCACATGTTCTAAGTACTCGCTATTAATTATATCCACCTTCAATAAACCTTTTTTTTTCTTAAGCCATTTCTTACAATCTAATGTATTCCCTTGCCATTGAGCCTACTAATATCTATGGTCGTGTTTGGGAAAAGCTAAAAGCTGAAGCTGATTGTGTCAACTGATTTTAGCTGATTTTAATTGACTGATTAATGTTAACTGATTTGACTAACTTATTTTGTTAGCTGATTGTATACTAGTGTTTGGTAAATAGCAAATTGCTTAAAGCTGATTGATTATGTGAAATGACTAATAAGCTAATTGAGTGGTAGGTAGTTCATATAGGATTTTAAATTAAATGGGGTTTAAGTGTCATTTCACTATAAGAATTGAACAAGCTAATTGAAAAAATAGCTTATTAAGTGGAATAAGCTCTTTAACTGAGCTTCTCACCAAACACCTTGAATTAGCTTATTTAATAATCAATAAGTTAATGTAGACAAATAAGCTAATTTTGCTCAAATAAGCTAGTTACCAAACACAACCTATATTTTTTGAGAATATGAGGTATATTAAGATGACTGGAACTTTCTCCTCTAAATTAAGGGGAAAAAAGGTTGATATAAGCACATTAACTCTGCCAAAAGGAAACAATAAATTTGAGTACTGGATGAGAAAAACAAACTGACCTTTTGCAAGTATGGCACACAGCCCAGTCCCATAGACTGACCTCATCAAACAAGAAACTTCAATTAGGGATTTAATATAATTCAAAATCATCCGTATATACAACACACAAAAAAAAATATCAAACTAAAATAACATATTACCTTAAATATGAACATGAGGGATCCAACCACTTTTTGGTGATAGCTAGAAAGTGAAGGATCCCTAAGAACACGCATGAGGGAATTTATCGCAACCTGCAATCATAGTTACAGCCAAAAATTGTGTTACTTATAGACCAAGAATAGGAAAAAATTATATATATTTTCCTTCTCGTGAAACAGAAAATAAATGACGGTTCAATATGCTTTATGATTCTATGAAGGCTGGTCATGATGAAACTAGTACCGTTGAGTAATAGTCCTCAGAAGATGTTGTAAAAGATGGCCAAAGGTCCATAGGGAGATCATCCATGGATCGAATGTGCTGACCAGTTTCTGTGGTTGTGTTGGTAACTTCTGTTTGGGCCCCAGGCAAGTTCGGTTGGTTCCTTTTATGAACATAGGGATCCAATGCACCCATGATACCAAGAACCTGAAACGGAGGTCAGTAAGTTGGCGGCAATCAATACCAGAGGCCTAGCAGTCTATAAACAATAAACATACCTTCAACACTTCTCGTCTTGTTGACCACGCCAAATCACCATTGAGCAACTTCAGGAGTAATCCAAGCAGCTGAGGGTAATCATTGTAAGGAGCTATGACATACCTGCCAAGAGTACTTGTAAGATCCAAAGCATGTAGTACACCATTCACTAATCTATATTGGGATTATAAGTTTTAACTGCTAAATTTCAAAGTACTAGGATACATCAATTTTTACATTAGCTATATAGATCACAGAGAATAATACAAGATAGCCTCAGCACATAATAAAGATCATAGCCCAACTTATCTAAATGGATGATGTATTTAGTGATGTCTAGTTTGGCAAAATGTTAGAACCATTCTACACATACATCAAGCAGCAATACTGCTATATAATTAATAAATTGATTTTACACGATAGCCTGAGTGCATAAAGGTCATTCAATCTTAATCCAAGCTGCATTCTCACTATAAAGGCAACAAGTGCATTGACTTTCAAATCTCAGCCACTTTAAACACAATAAGATTGAGTCTTCAAAGATATATATATATATATACACACACACACTCATATATTGAGAAAATCAATAATCTTTTGTACAGAAAAGTTAGTAGGAGACGCAAAATGTTCACATCTTCCATATCTTTAAATAAGAACCCATAAGCCTTATTTGCACCTTTCAAATGAGATGATATAGCAGAAAATCCAATAGCGATTTCCTGTATCATTTTTTCAGAAGAGGTCAGACATTTATATATCCTCCTCTCAACTAGGGTGAGAGTGTGAACCCTAATGGCCTAAAACAATGCTATGTTCAACTAAAATATTCCACTGCTCTAGCAAGTCTAACAGAAAATCATAATACATGATAAGACATTGATTAGAAAGTAAATTAGATACTAACCCGGTGCTCTGTACTACTTGTCCAAGGGTCGCAACTGCAACTTCTCGTTTTGTGACAGCTGCCCCATCCACTAAAGCTTCTACTATTAGTGGCATTAGTTCAGAAATATATTGTCTCATGGCAAAGCCGCCCTACAGCCGAAAAATCATTCAACAAAATAAGTAAATAACTATACAGCATTGCTGTCACAACACTAATGCCTGCAAAGCTTTTCTAATAGACCATTGAGACAAAGGTTTGATTTATCATGCTAAGAATAAGAAATGAATTGGAAGCAAATATATACATCTATTGAAATATAGTCCACTGAATTCAGGTTTTCCCTCCCAAACCCACCTTATTTACAGCCAAAACTAATACAATTTATTCCCCATTTAAATCATCTAAACCTTATCTTTGAACATATAAGTTTATAATTAATGCTTCTCGGGTGAGTTAAACCGCCAACATAATAGAAATTAGAAATTGACACTTACAAGTTACAACATAACCAGAGGAAACACTAGGGAAGGTTCTACACAAACGCCTCAAAAAAGGGAAATTAAAAGGAAAAAATGACAAAAAGAAACCAAGAGGCAAAACAAACAGCTCTGCCCTCAATAACTTACTTCTTCACTTAAATTACACTTCCAATTACTGTAAGCTACTTATCCGCAAACATCTATTGATAAACTTGCACTTACGTACCTTAAAAAACCTTATTGAATTTATGAATTATAACGTACTAAAATAAAAACAGCTCACCACTCTAGCCAAATCTCCAACAGTTACCAAAACTCCAGTGATAATGCCACTATTAGCAGTCAATGCCGATCCCTCACGGAGTTTTGCCACTAAAGCCTGAAATTCAACACAAAACAAACTTCAATAACTCGACTTTTACAAACCATACATACCATGAAAGAAACTTCTATGCCACCTTATGTATCGGAGCAATATATGGGAGTATTAAACGTTCACAACTGCGAATTAAGCACCCCAATGATTTAGCACTTTCTTCTCTGCATTTGCTGTCCACACTGCAAAAAAATGTAACATCAGTTGGTTATGCTCAAAAAGGCTTCATTCTTCCAACCAAAAACACATGCAAATTTTAGCATTGATGTATAAGCTGTGTCTGTTAGCTATGGCCTTTATCATTACCTTTGCTCTAGATATGTTAGCAGCTGTATGAGATAACGACGTAAAGCTGGGAGAACATATGCAGGATTCTTTTCAGACAATCGGCCAGCAACTGAGATTGCATATTCACGAACTTGAAAATCCTGCAAGCAAACAATAAGCACTTGAAAACAATAATGAAGTATACCATATGAAAAGTAGAAAAACATCAGAAGCAAACAGGGATAATAAAATGAATATCCAGATAACTAGAAGCCAGACCAGTATTACTTAATTCGCTAACATCCCCCCCCCCTCTGTAAACCATGGCTCGCAACGTGTGAACTGGTACATGGTACGGTGGTAAACCTTTAAAATAGTTTAACAAAACTAGGTAGCAAATTATGCTCCTGTACATGTTCTGCATATGAAAGTGGAAAACTGTACCACAAGTCAGATTAGGTAATTTTACAAAAGACAATTAATTATGGTATAAGATCCCATGGTAGCTAAGCAAAGAGGAGAAAAGACTGAAAGATGAAGTGTACCTTCACAGCTTCACCCAAGTTTCAATAACAGATACTTCTGGGGGGAATTTAAAAAGGGGTGTAAATGCACACAGGAGATTGGTTGGTAAGCGAAATAAAGCTATTCCAGGAGTTCAGCACATAAAGTACAAAAGAGCATACAGACCATTCTCCGGAAATTATTTAATACAGGTTATTTAAGTGACCCGGCCACTTTTACTAAGTAGAAGAGGCAGGATATAAAAGCGAACAACCTTACCCATCAGCTCAATACATAGTCAGGAACTTGTAGAAAGACTCATATAAATGAGAGGCCTTGAAAAACTAATTAAGTAAACAGAACTGTATAAGGGAGCACTGAGAAACATCTACAAGGAAGCAAATTAATCCTATAGGTCCTACACCCACCCCATTCCCAAAACAATATTTCCCAAGAATTACCAAAAAGAGCAGATAGCTATAGAGCACTACAAGAATTTAAATATATACCCAACGAAAAAAATTTAAAAAATTATCAGATGTGATGTATGACACCAAATGATTACAATTGAAAAACTAACACAGAATAGCTGGCAGCCTGACTATGCAGAATCATAACAAACTCCAAATATCTCATAAGTCATAACAGTTCAAATGTTACCTCATCATTTAGAGCAGCAAAGATAGCACTTAAACAATCAGCTTGAGCCAGATATTCATCAAAACCTCCATCTTCATGCAAGGATTGGAAAATTGAAAGCCTAACACTAACATCAGCATCAGCAACAGCAGCTATTAGCAGCTTTTCCACAATCTGCAGGACAAAAAACACATGTTTACCAATCAGTTAGTATATTTTACTGTTTCTCCCATTCATAAATAAACTTTAACATATCTATAATGGATGTCCCCAAGAATGAGAATACACAAACAAAATTATGTGGTCCTCAAAAGAGAAAAACTTTGAGAAATTATCACGCAAGCCCTACAAATAACCCTTTTATTAGTCCAAGAACCAAATCTCTGAAATTAAGCTAGACAGCAGACAGCTTTAGCTAGCCTCTACATGCTATTTGATACCCTAAATAAGCTAAGAAAAGAGAACAAACACTGAACACTCAGCTAATTGCTGTCTTTGTGTTTCTCAACCTCATATTTTCTGTCATATGCAGTTAACTATAATTTGACAGTAAATACCTCCTCAATGAGACGTCTTCTTTTTCCTCCAGTTCGGCTAGATCTAGCAGGAGTGTATTGAGTAGATGCTACAGAAATAGAATTCACTACTAATCTGCAACAGCATAATGCAGCATCTTTCCTAGTGACTGCATCCTCATCTTCCAAGTAAGAGGTAACAGATTCCCTTGCAAACTCTAGAAGATCATGGCCCTGGTATATAAACAAGAAATTAAACATTAGCATATGACCAAAGAAAACTAGTCCATGCTTAATTAGGAGATGACAGGGTACAAACCTTGAAGTTAAAATGTGCAAGAGTCTGCAAAGCAAGTTGCACGAGAACAGGGCCAGAGACATCTGAAATCAGCAAAGGCGTATTTACCACATTTCCTCGGCCTATCGTCACAGCTGGCTTCACCTGAGCATGATGAGACCTCGAAAGAGCAATGGAAATGCATTCCAGCAATCGGCTTTGAATTGTTGTAAGCAATGAAGGAATACTGAGGCAATACAAAAACAGATAACTTATAACCAAGACACAAATTTGACAGGCATGCAAGGCAATCAAGTAATTCATTGATTATAGGTGGCTACAGGCTGGGCCAGGCTGCGCTCGCTTGATGGACCAGCTCATAGCTCGATTAATCTGTGCCATAGGCCAGTTTTAGCCCCAGCTGAACTAAAACCAAATCAGATTCAGGGCAGGCCAGTAAAGTTAGCCAGTTTTATTTAATTAAACAAATGAGAGCCAGTCACATCAATCAGGCAGGGCCTGACCAATCCAGTCAGGTAAAATTAACACTCTTCTTCCCATTACCCAACCGCTTTCACAGTAATTTTGGATCAGATAGAGTTCAGGGCCAAACCCAAATGGAAGCAGGTTAGCTGGGCCTCTTCCAGACTGTTAGTCACCTCTACCTTAAGCAATGAAAATCTTAAAACAAACCTAATGGCGATTTGCTCAAGTGCTTCTACAAGCTGGCATGAAAGACCAGCAGAGAACATTGCATCTAAGAGGCCACGAATGTGAGGCTCCATATCTGGCCCCATTGCTTTTGCGATGCAGCCAACACAAGCCAAAGCCTCCAAAGAAGGTCTACCCCTACGAGGAGCAATCTAGGAGAAGAAAACCAATTAGAACTTAGTGGCAATGTCATGATGTAACAACAAATAAAAGTTGGAAAATAGATTTTGGAACACACAGCATCACGCAAATGAGACATTATTGTCGGCAAATAGTGAACAAGTTCCCCATCCAAGGCACCAGCCATCTCCCCAAGAGCAATGAAACCACTGGCCCGCTCAGCAGGTATCTTCAGAACAGCAAGAATATGATCCATGCATATCTGTCCGAGAAGAATGATTAATAATGATCAGGGAAGCTGCTACAAACAAGTACACAAATCTAAATATTACTAACTCAGTTTTTTTTAGTTGACATGTTTTGACTTTGACCGTTTTCTAGTTATTTATATGTAATGATATATATTTTCAAAATATCAACTTTTTTTAATTTCTGCTTATCGGTAATTAAAAATATAATATGGTTGAATTTGTTTATTGACAAATATGACTTAAAAAATGTGTCAACTAAAAAGAAACGGAGGAAGTATAACAATTCGAGTCACTTACCGTCAAATAATTAGTCACAAAACGATCACGTAGGAAATGAGCAATGCGAGGAAGCAATGAAGTTATGCTAAGACGAACAAGCCGATCACGATGCTCAAGATATCTTAGTACAATATCTGCAACTTCTCTATACCTAGACATCATAAATTCACCTGTATTCCTGTACAAAAGAAAACCAGAAAATCATGACCTGCAAGCTGCAATCACGAAGAAGAAAACTTACCAAGCTCATTAATAAGTGTCAAGCATGTCATAATGACATGTACTTAAATATTTTACGAGCAAAATAGGACAGACTTTATGCGCAAATTTTTTCAAGTAAAGTCAGATAAGTATTGCAAAATTATATTTATTAAAAGAAGAGAAGCAAAGACACAAATTATCAAGCCCACGGGCTATGAAGTTGTTTATTGCCAACAAAAAAAAAAAAAAAAATAAAAAAAATAAAAAAAAAATAGGTGCAGCCATAAAAAAGGCACTTGGCGTATGGCTCCAAGAACTATACAACATCCTCGAAAAATAGAGCTTGGATTCCTGAATCAAAGAAGCTGTCAAATACAGTTAGCAATGTTTGCTTTGGCCATCTAACCAACCTCAATAGCTCCCCAACAGCAAGTAAGGAACCATGAATGCTATGAACTGGAGCGTTTTTTCCTAGACCCTCTTGAGTAGCCTCAAACATACGGTAGTACCTACAATATGGCACAAATTATGTCAGACTCAAATAATAAACTCAAGGTGAAAAAATGATATAAAAAGACAGAATACATATATAATTATTATTGTGACATGTTTTACTATTAATTTTTTATATAGAGAAAGCCACAAGAGAAAATGATGTAGATGTGATTTGATATACAATTACCCTCCAAAGAAATTAAATAACTAGGCTAGTTGGCATCCATCTTAATATAAATTGAACATGACAATTATTTAACTTTCAAACTTAATAACTACATTGCCCGACACCATCCAAATAAGTGTTTTAAACTTAAAGAGGCTATTGAGCATGAGCAATGCCCTAATTGTAATTTTTTATTTTTTTTTATTTTTTTTTAATGTATAGAAAGCCACAAAGAAAAAGTTATGCAAATGAGATTTGATCCAATGTCACCTATTAAGAGTTTACTGAACTAGGCTATGAAAAGCTTAACCAACTAGACTATTGAAGACTTGTCAAAAAAAAAAAAAAAAAAAAAACTAGACTATGAAGTTGTTTATCCAAAACCACCCCTTAAGAATTGGCACCCACCTTAATATTGGATATGACGGATTTTGATAACAGATAGTCAAACATTTTACACATTCAAACTCCATAATTACAGTACCCAAAACAATCCAAATTAGTGTTTTACACCTAAAAAAGGTTACTGAGAGAAAGAGCAATGCCCAGTAGAGTGTACTTTAAAAAAAATATATATATATCAAAGCAATTATGTTGAACTCCTTCAAATACTGCATATTGTTTAGCAATGTAGCTCATTCATAAGTTTAAAAATCACAAAAACTCATGTTGCACACATTCAACAGCTAGAGTTGTGAAAAACCCCCCAACAGTCTAATATTAAAAAAAAAAAAAAAAAAAAAAAAAAAACACCCTAATAATAATAATAATAATAATAATATATATATATATATAAGCACATCATCTATACTCTATATTAATATGAGTATTCTGGTATTATTAAAAATTCAAATATACTCTAAATTTGGGCCAGTATAAAGGATTTATACTGAAAATCTGGGAGGGCTGTAGCAAAATCCACCACGCCTTCATACTCGTGTTATATACTTTTCTCGGTCCACATATCTTCCTTTTCAGGATGTCCAAAAATAATCTTCATGTCATTTAAATAGAAATTTTCATACTCGAACCATGTGAAGTGAACCACTCCACTAATACTCTTTCTCTCACACTCTCAACCCTCCACCCCACCCTACTAATTCCTTTACACACGCACCAAAGCCTAACATGTATGATTCAATCCACTAAACTTGTGCACAATTAACATGTTTTCAATTCTTTATAGTAATTCTAAGGCCACCCCTCTTTTTCTTCCATATTCTTGTTTCTTCCACCCTCATTTACTAGAAAGCAAAGGAGTGTGAAGGGCAACACATCACACATAGCTAGGTCTATGCCTGATCAACTTTAGTTGACACCACACTCTTGTAACAAAGAAGCTCATCACTTCTTAAATAACGAATAATAAAACTAAAATCACTTTGCATTTGTCTGAGTCATTAGCATAAAACACAAGAATTGATGTAATCAATAAGTATCATGCATTTCCATTGATATTCAAAAGTGTCGGCAAACAAACACCCTAAAGATGACAAAGCATCATATTCTCTTTGTTTATAAATAGTTGCATCATTTAGACTTATTCACTGTTCACACACTCCACTATAAAACAAAACTTAATCATGTGATATCTTGTTAGATATTCTGAAGACTCTCAACATATACTTTCAAAGTATCAACTTTATATAATTTTTACTTATTAATAATTAAGAATAAAAAAGTTGAACTTCTGCATTGGCTAGCGTACAGATAGAATGTTGCAATTGTTTCTAAATGGAGGAGGTAGTAATTATGACGTTATGTGATTTAAGAATATTAAAAATGAGATCAACAGTCCACCTAATATTTTTTTATCATACAGCGGCTCTACAACAAGAATAGCTGCAACTTCCAGTATGTATTGCAGTTCCTGAACCATATGTAAACTAACCATTGAACACGCCAACGTGTCTCACGTTTCTCAATGACACGAAGACAAGCACGTAATGCTTCCACAGCACGTTCTCGTACATCTAATGAAGGGTCTCTTAAGGCAACCCAAATGGCATCCACAAATTCTGGAACGTGGACATTGAACACAGTTGAAGCGTTTTCAGCCATTTCCTGGACAAATGGAACAAAAGTTGATAATGTAAATTTTAGAAAAGCACATTGAAAAACAAAAAAAATCAGCTTCCTTAGGTTCATCAACAATATAAAACAACCACACTAAGGTCCCTAAAGAATCATGCAACTTCAGACATGATTCAAATTCGGCCATCAATGTAGATAAATGCTAATCAAACATACAAAAGTGTCATTATCTACAATATCAGGGATATTACAAACCAAGCTAAGACTACTTTTTCCTGCAGTTGATCATTGAAACTAAATATGTATCTCTCAATGACTAGAGGGCTAATCAAGGGTAAATTATGGGGAGATAAATTTACAATGGTTTAGAATAAGCTAACTTTTACATAGGTTAATGTTTTCTTGCATTTGGAGGAGAAAGATTTTTGTAGATGATTACACAGAAAGACAGAATAATCAAATTTGGTTTACGCAGCCTACCCCACTTATGGGATTAAGGCTTTGATTGATTGATTGAATGTTTTCTTGCAATTGGTATGAAGGTGTTGAATGTAGCGCTCAAAGAAATGTTTGATTCAAACAACAGGGAATCTTTCCCAATTCTCTCTCCTTGTTTTGTAAGAAAACTAAGGAGCTAACTTGTATATATTAAATGCATTGATAATATAATATGATAAAATGGTGGTTGGTCATCAAATGTTAGTTCAATAAAAAAAAAAAAATAAGATGTGTTGGGAAATAGTAGATTAGGGTTAAGGACTGAAATATACAACAACAACAAAAACGGAGCATTGTAAATTGTAGAAATTGGCAAACTAATAATTAGTTCACATATATAACAAAACAATAAGAGTGTTAATATACAAGCAAAAATCTACTAAACAAACAAATAGACAAACAGAAACTCTGAGAGGAGCATCTATAGGCAAAACAATATAAACAAAATGACGGCATTATAGATTTTAGAGACATTTCCTACCATGCTACAAACTTTCAAACTAATTAGAGACAAAACATAAGTAAGAAACAGACAGTAGTAAGAAATAAATCAGCAAATTGTCTCACCAAAAATGCAAAAATCAAGAAGAATAAACTTACTTTCAAGATTAAAACTGCAGCAAGAAGACGGTACTCAACTCGCTCTCCACGTAGCCAATCCAACGCGTTTCTTATCTATAAAACAGCACCTATAAGCTCCTGGATTTCCAAGGCATCAAACAAACAATAAAGAATGGTCCATACCTGGTGTTCCACTTCATCAGCAGTCATGGCCCCACCAGCCCGAGCTAGGTGTCCAAGCACTCTACTAGCAAGGACTAATATTTCACGTTCACGCTTCAACTCAAAAACAGTTCGAATATAATTAGAGAATTTCGAAACCCTGGAAGCACTCTCTCCCAGCGGCAAATCTATTAGCTCATTAATAGCTCTTAAAGCTCCCAAATTTTCAGCAACATCACCACTTTCTAGTAAACTAGATATTCGATCATAGAGCTGATCCATGAAGCGCGAAAATGCTTCTCCATTGAGATCATGTGCTGCTTCTTCAATGTGTCTCCTCAAAGCAGACGACGCACCCTCCTACATAAAGCCATGATTTCCACGTTTCAAAATTCGATTACATTCCGGTTTTGTTTCCAAAGACATCCCTAAGAAAGCTAATTATGCTAAATTTACTCGAATTATAGCATTGTCACGCCAAAAACAATCCAGAATCAACAATTTACACGTAAATAATCCACTGCCAATCATTTCATTGAGCTCCTACTCCCAAATTTAACCTTAATCCACGAAATTTACAATTCAAGCAAACAACAAAAACCTACTTACAATCACCTAATTTCTCTCAACAACAAACTCACTTACAATCACTAATTTAATCTAAAAAATCGAGAAAAAAGAAAGGAAGCTGAAATTGAAGGCAAACCTTATGAATTCCTTTGATGCAAAGATCAGAGAGAACGCGATTGACTGCGTCGAGGTTGCCATAACCACCAGCAGCAGGGTTGAAGCGCAAGGACGAAGGATTCGCCGCCATTGAAGGAGGATTTCCAAAGCCCTAGCTCAATTCATCGCCATTAAATTAATCCTCAAATATAATAATGATGATTAAAAAGGGGGTTTTAGGTTGAAGATGGTAGATAAAAAAAAGAGTGATGATATTGTGAAATTGATTTCGGTGACTCACTCTTCTCTTTCTCTCTCTTTCCAAAATGTTAGACCACTCTCAATGGTGAGCAAAAAAAATGTTCACCCACTCTCTCTCTACCCACTTTCTCTCTCAACAAATCAATTTTGCTCATGGGCAAATTTTTTTCATATTTCCTCTCCCAATGGTGAGCAAAAAAAATGCTCACCCACCACTATCTCTCTCTTACTTTTTCAATACCCCACCGTAACTTTCTCTCTCCTACACAACACTTCTTTATTTATTTATTTCATTTATATTTTAACATTACTCCAAATAAATAAAAACTAGTTTAATTATGTGTAACTTATTTTTTTTATTTTTTTCTTTTTTATCGTTAAAATTTATCGTAAAATTATTTATGTTATTATAAATAATTGTAAAAAAAAGCTCATAATTTTTTATTTATTTTAAAAGCGGTACAATATTAGAGAACAATTAATTTGCAACGTCATGCGCAATTAAACTTAGGAAATAAAAAAAACACAACAACTACATCGTCTAATTTCTCCCTAATTACGGGGCCCGTATCGTTGCCAAATATGTTCGACTAAATCACGTTTCAGAGATAGATGAATTTCTCTGTCACGGAGGGAAGCTTTTCGCTGTAGAAATGCGTTGAAGTCAAAGTTGGTAGGTCGGCCTACGTTGAATTCAAACGGTGGCGTTGTAGATGTTGATGCTGGTGTTGATTCTTGTTGATCTTCTTCGTAGAAGGCTCTTAGAACTTCGGCTCGAGTGTAGTTGTGGCGCTCATCTTCAACAATCATGTTGTGCATAATGATACATGCTTTCATTATGTCTCGCAGTATGTCCTCATCGTACGCCAGTGACGGTTTTCGTATTATTGCAAATCGAGCTTGCAAAACACCGAATGCTCTTTCAACGTCTTTTCGAGCAGCAGCCTGGTGGTCAGCGAACAATTTATCTTTTTGAAGTTGAGGGGTTGTGATACCCTGAACAAAAGTTGCCCACTTCGGATAAATACCGTCGGCTAAGTAATATGCCATGTTGTATTCATGGCCGTTAACGGTAAAATTTACCGGAGGAGCTCGACCATGCAGAACCTCATCGAACACTGGGGAACGGTATAAGACATTTAGGTCATTACAAGATCCAGGAATCCCAAAGAAGGAATCCATATCCATAAATCCTGATCTGCAACGGCTTCCAGTATTAGCGTTGCTTTCTTGTTCCTACCGGCGTACTGCGCTTTCCATGCCGTTGGACAGTTCTTCCATTCCCAATGCATGCAATCAATGCTGCCTATCATGCCTGGAAATCCACGCAGTTCATTTTGATGCATAATTCTGGCCAATTCAGCAGTTGTAGGGTTTCGCATGTACTCGGTTCCGAACTGATTAATGACCCCGGTACAAAAACGTTGAAGAGCAACTCGAGCAGTTGACTCACTGATCCGAACGTATTCATCCACGGCGTCCGCAGCCATGCCGTAGCCTAACATTCTTATCGCTGCTGTACATTTTTGCAGAGGTGATAAACCTAACCTTCCAGCTGCATCCCTACGCTGCTGGAAGTACACATCACCTTCAACGACCTTGTTCATTATACGTACAAACAAAGGTCGTTGCATACGAAATCTTCTTCTAAATTGGGTGGTGTTGTACACGGGATTATCGGAAAAGTAATCATTAAACAACCTGGCATGTCCAATTTCCCTATCTCTTCTATTCGTACCCCCTCTAGGTTTTTTTGAAGAGTGTTGGGATTGTGTTTGGGGCATGAGGACAGATGGGGGTTGGTATGTGAAGAGTTCATCAACAAGTTGGTCATATTCTTCAGTATTTGAAGAAGATGAGCTTGAACTTGAGCTTGATGATGGTCTAGAATACATCTCGTATTACTATTGTTATTTGATGAAGGGGTGTGGTTGTGGATATGTGCCATGTCTACTATATATAGCAAAAATATCAAATGAATATGTGGTTACAAATCTGATTGACCACACCAAGTACAGGAATTAAATTTTCAACCACGGAATAGGTATACTATGCTAGTTGACAGTGACAAGTCTTGAGTGCAATAATGTCGGTATCAATGACACAAAGGTAAAGCATTCTGATAAAGTGAAATCAGAAAAATGTGACTACACAATGACAAAGATTTATTGTAATTATGTCGGTATCAATGACACAAAGGTAAAGCATTCTGATAAAGTGAAATCAGAAAAATGTGACTACACAATGACGAAGATTTATTGTAATTATGTCGGTATGGAAACTTAAATCAACTTGTTAAACAACTTGTCATTCAATATTGGAAAATCAGAATACAAGTGTACATCTTATATTGAGATTAACCACACAACTAATACAACTTAAAAATAAAAGACTAAATTGCGCTTAATAAATAAAAGACTAAAACCAAACATGCTTAAAGGCCTTGTAATTTACCCAGTAAAAAATTCTTGTACGACTCTTCTTCGGGAGTGAGTGGCGTAGGCGAATTCTTCAGAGCTTGCACCATATCAAACCAGGTTTTCATCTTATGAATAACAAGTTCCTCCCTTTTCCTCTGTTCCTTGTCTTTTTCAATTTTGATCCTCTCTTCCTTCAGAATGGCCTCCCTCTCGCGAATTGTAGCGAATTCCTTCATTCGTTCGCTAAGCTCAGACGAACTACTTTCTGTTGCTACTGCTTTCCCCTTACGCTTCGCCTTTGCCTTCTTGACACCCTCAGGTCGTTGTAAACCGCCAGATGAAAAACCATCCGTAGGGGTTTCATCATCTACATCATCTCTGGACCTCTTCCCACTTCCAGCACTACCTTCTTCCTCGGCATCACAAGCGGCTTTTCTTTCCTTCAAGGACATTGACCATCTCACCTTCGGTCTCCACTTTGGATCCTTGTTAAGCATTTCAATTGCGTGAGGAAAAGTGAAATTGCGACCTTGGGCGACATGAAAAAGCTTCGCCGCACTTTTCATACGATCAGCTTCATTGTAACCACTCCCTCCCTCCGGAAGTCTACCTGCCTCATCATAGCAAGATATCCATTGCAGTGTGTCCGCTGCCAACCTTCTCCAGTGCGACGTGAGACTCTTAATAGGCCTTGGCGGAATTATATGCGGCTTCTGCGTATGCAAAGTTTGGTATGCTGCGTGTACATTGCGCCATAGGGTAGTTGCTTTTTGGCTTGTACTTTTAATAGCATCCTCACTAATCTGCAAGTACAACCCAATCAGAGCTTCATCTTCCGCCACAGACCAAATACGGGTAGCTCGTGCAGGAACCTGGTTGGGTTCCAACAAGCGCACTGGTGGAGGAGGATACTGCGGCGTCTCTGGTACGCTTTCCTCTTCGCTCTCATCGAATAGTGTGTTACTACCAAGATCAGTTTCAGGTGTACGATCTTCATTAGCAGGGTTTTGTTGGGGAACCTCAGTGGGTGTCTGATGCAGTGGAGGTGGTTGCGTCGACATATTGCCCATTCTTTGCAAGAACAACTGAAACTCGGGATTAGTTAGGAAATCATCACTAAAACCCGAAAGTTGTTGACGGAAATTTGGGTTGTTTGGATCCATTAAAATATTCTGCACCAAAAAACAAAAGATCAATATCGTTACAAACATTTACTCAAAAAACAAATTAAAATGATAACAAATCCAAAAAAATATCAACAACTTTCTTCAATTGCATAATGCAATAACATTACATGCCATACAAAATAACATATATACTAATTTTAACACATAACTACAGGTACATGTTAAAGAAAATAATTAACCAATACTTGCAACACTTTAAGAACATGTACATAATGCAATATAATTTCGTGGCCTATAATTTTTTTTTTCAATAAAATCACATATATACTAATTTTATTAAGTTAATACATTTATATATAGCAACAAAAATTTACCATTAATTAATTGCAACAACAAATTCAGAAATTTATGGACAAAATATAAACAACTTTCTTAATAATTACATATTGCAAATATAATTACATGGCCTAAAATATTTTATTTTTTTTAAAAAAAATCACATATAATATACTACTTATATTTAACTGATTTTAAAAATTAAATAATTTTTTTTTTACCTCAATATGGATGAATTGCAATAGCAATATTCTTCTACAAAATTAAAATACTTTTAAGAAAATTAAAATTTGGAGGATTTTAAGGTGTTTTTGAAATTGTATCAAAATATATCAAAATGCATGTCTATTTATAGAGAATTTAATTTTATGACCGTTGGTAATTTTTTTTTTTTTTTACAAAATATATTTTTCTGAAAATGGGAAATACATAAATAACCGTTGTAAAACAGCTAGTATTTTCTGATTGGTTGTCTTGCTGCCAGCTGCCACGTGTCGCGTCCTCATTCGCCAGCGAACTGCACGCGTCAGCTTCCCTTTTTTTTTTTTTCTGATACTCAAAACGACGCGTTTTGAGGCGCGCCTTTGAGGCAGCTTCATCAAAACGCGTCGTTTTGATGTTAGAGTCAGTTTTTTTTTTTATTTTTCTGACGCGTGTGGGGCCCACTTGCAACACTGTTCATGGCAAAAAATGCTCAACTTTTGAGCTTTTTAATAAATGCTCATGAGCATTTTTACCTATTTTTCATTTTACTCACCATTGTGAGTTGTGAGCATTTTTTTTCCTCACAAAAAATGTTCATGAGCTAAAAAAACTCTCACCATTGAGAGTGCTCTTAGAGCTGGGCAAGTGTGTGAAGCGTCGAATCGACGACGATAAAGATGGGCTAGAACTGGGACGTTTTTCCAAAGTGAGTCAATTTTGGCAAATATTAACCAAAATGGTTGCGTGGCAAAAGTATTTACCAAACTAAGCTTCCAGGCTAAAACGCTGTCTCGGTCAGCGTTTTATGCCTGGGTTTTTTTTTTTAAAAAAAATCAACCTAAAAACGCTGTCTGGGACAGCGTCTTTGTTGTTGACCTTTTTTAAAAAAAATTTTGTAATTGCCTTTTATTTATAAAAATGTTTTTAAAAAACAAAAACAGTTATACCAAAGACGTTGTCCCAGACAGCGTTTAACTCTGGAACTATAAACGCTGTCTCAGACAGCGTTTAAGGTTATTAATGAAACGCTGTCTGAGACAGCGTTTCTATCGTTTTTTTTTTTCCTGCAACAGCGTATTTCATCCTTTCATTTCCTCCTCCTTCATTCTCAAACCCCTTCTTTCCCAAACTCTAACTTAATCCCCCTCTCTCTCATACTTGTGCTCCTCCGTATAGACCGCCGCCGGCGCCGCCACCTCCACCGTTGCCCGCCGTCACCTCCACCGTCGCCCTCCGTGTAGCCCACTATACACTCCCCTCACCCTGAAATAGGTATTCATTCAACTTTCTTTGTGTTTTAAATTCTAGGGTTTATGTTGGTGATTTCTAATTTTTTTGGAATTGGGTTAAAATGTTGATGAAGTTGAGTTGTTAGTGTTAAAAATGTTGAATTGTTAGTGTTGGTATTGTTGAATTATTAGTGTTGGTAATTGTTGAATTGTTAGTGTTGATAATGGTAGTGTTGATATTGTTAGTGTTGATAATAGTTTGGATAATGTTGAATTGTTGTTGTTGGTTTTGTTGAAAATTGTTGACAATGGTTGATAATTATTAGGTTTTGAACAATTGTAATTACCTACATTGTTGTGTAATAATGGTGATTTAGGGGTTCTTAGTAGTTAATTTGTATAGTATGTAAAAAAATTTTGTTTGATTGTGGTGATTTAGGGATGATTTAACGGCTTTACGTAAAATGTGTTTTGGTTGTTATGTAGAATATGGCTGGACAAAATGTAGCGTTGTTATGTCGATGGGGAGGTGAAATTTTGTGTAATGGATCAAATGTGGAGTATAGTGGAGGAAATATGGACCTTATAACACTTGAACTGAACATGACTGTGACTGATCTGATGAATGAGGTTCACAGTTGTATTGGTTCAAACCCTATGACAGTTGAACTGAACCTTAAAATGAGGTGTGATACTGGTCATGGGGTGCAAGTGTTACCTGTCTCTACGAACAAACATTTGAAAGGTTTGAGGAGCATGGTAGGAATGAAGGGTTTTCCCAATGAGATATATGTAGAAACAGTGCCTATATGTACCCAACAAAGTACTCGGGCAGAACAACAAGCTACATATGTCTCTGATTACAACACCGCGTCCTTCCAAGAGCCCGCAAACCACATTCCATCGAATGCATATGGGATGGGTTCTTTCACTCGAATGATGCAGGACGACCAATTTCACTTGCCTTTTAGTTCTCATATAGCTTCACCAGTACATGCGGGGGGACGCGTGACAGTGTTCGGCCAGCCTGCTCCGTCGTCATCGAACACCGTGGCATCTTCGCCGATGCAATTGCATAGCTACTCTCCTATGCAAGGTGATGATGGTTCACCGTTTCGAGAAGAGCCAAATCATTTTGATGATGTTGTGAATAATGAATTGTCGGTGTATGATGTGTATGCGGAAATGGATGATGAGGACGAGAACGGAGAGGGGGATGATGAACCTACACAGGTGGAAGATGGTCAGCCGTTGGTTAGAGCTCCCATACCTTGGTTCAGTGAGGTACCCGAGAACTATGAAGTTGATCAGTATTGGGCCGAATCGGGTAGCCACACCTCTTTTGTTCCCGGGGGAGAATTTGAGAAGGGAATGTATTTTGAGAGCAAGAAACTGCTTCAAGAAATGGTGAAGATGTATTCTATTCAGAGGAATCAATTCTACACCACAGTGACCTCGAATGATGGTGTCCTACATCTGCGATGCAAGAAGAAATGTGGTTGGATGCTACGGGGTACCAAATCGAGTGAGCACTCACGTGGTTTTACCATAGTCACGTACAAAGGCCCGCATCGGAAGACATGTGTCAGTGAAGTACTATCTAATGATCACCCACACTTGGATTCGTCCGTAATAGCCGAGTATGTGAAGTCCTTTGTGCGGAAAGATCCTTCGTTGAAAGTGGAATTCATACAGGAACTGATCTCGAAGCAATTTCATTTCGATGTCCCGTATCGACGAGCGTGGTATGCCAAGGAGAAAGCTATAGCTGAGATATTTGGGGATTGGGAGAGTTCATATGGCAGACTTCCCCACTTCATGCAAGCACTCCTACGGTCGAACCCGGGAACATGTGTCGTATGGAAACACAAAGCTTTAGTGGATGGTGTATA